ATTCTTGGGCCCCGTGAAGGGGCTTTGCTGACCCTTCCTGCCTGGAGGGCCTGGAGGAGGCACCTGACAGAGATGGTGCTTGTAGGGTGGAAAGAGCCTTCCATCCTCACATGTCCTCGTGGGGGGGCCACAGCCAAGAAAGATAATGAGGGTCTGAGGAGACATTGTGGGGCTCTGCACCCCCACCAGGTGACTTTGGGGGCAGCCCCCCAAGCTCCGGCTGTTCCTGTTGCTCCAGTGGGCGGGTGCATGGAGGGACACGGTGCAGGGTGTGACAGAGCAGGCTCCACTCGAGAAGGGGACGCGGCCTGGGTGGGTCGTGGCACCGAGCGGCTGGGCCAGGGCGGGGCCGGTGAGGGCCTCGCCTGGGTCGCCCCTGCCCACCACCCCTGTCTCCCCCCCCCCCAGAGCTGTACGTGGCCCAGTGCACCCAGCGGCCCGTGGACGTGGTCTTCCTCCTGGACGGCTCCGAGCGGCTCGGGGAGCAGAACTTCCACAAGGCCCGGCGCTTCGTGGAGGAGGTGTCCCGGCGGCTGACCCTGGCGCGCAGGGACGACGACCCGCTCAACGCCCGCGTGGCCATGCTGCAGTTCGGGGGCCCCCGCGAGCAGCAGGTGGCCTTCCCGCTGACCTCCAACCTGACGGTCATCCACGAGGCGCTGGAGGGCGCCCGCTACCTCAACTCCTTCTCCCACGTGGGCACGGGCATCGTGCACGCCATCAACCAGGTGGTGCAGGGCGCGCGGACCGGGGCGCGCCGCCACGCCGAGCTGTCCTTCGTGTTCCTCACGGACGGCGTCACGGGCAACGACAGCCTGGACGAGGCCGTGCACTCCATGCGCAAGCAGAACGTGGTGCCCACCGTGGTGGCCGTGGGCGACGACGTGGACATGGACGTGCTCTCCAAGATCAGCCTGGGCGACTCGGCGGCCGTCTTCCGTGAGAAGAACTATGACGGCCTGGTGCAGCCCGGCTTCTTTGACAGGTTCATCCGCTGGATCTGCTAGCGCCCCGCCCGCCCCCCCGGGCGCCCCCAGCCCTGCGGGCTCGGTCCTCCTGGCCGTGGTGCTACTCGGATCCCGCCGGGAGAGGTGCGGAGCGCTGCGGACTCCACCTCTCCGGGCGTGGGTATAAAGTCAGGAGTGGAGCTCCCCTCCCCACCCAGTTCTTCCCTGCAGCCCTGGCGCCCTCCACCCCTCCTCTCTGTCCCGCGACACCCTACTCTCCACGCCCTTCCTGGTCCCAGGGGCGTCCCGGGACGTGCCTCGGACCCTCGTCAACAGGCCCATTTCCGCCTCAGCCCAGTGCCATCCCTGGGCTCTCATCCACCTTGCAGGGCCCCCAGAGGCTCTCTGCCAGCCCTCCTGGCCCAGCTCCCAGGCCTCCGCCTCACCTCGGAGGGCCATGACCCCATCAGACAGAGCTGTGACAGCAGGCCCGCCATGTCCCTGTATGCACACACCTCAGTCCAATAAAGGCTTTGAACCACCGCCTGCTCCCCAGCGTCCTTGTGTCTGTGCCCACCGGGACCCCGCAGAAAACAACTGGATTCTCTGACCGTTCACGTGCCACCAGCATTTATCACCCCAACCCCATTCCTACCCACCCACACGCACTTGCTCTGTGCATGGGGATGATGTCTGGCCTGGCCTCCTCTCATAAGCACAGGTGCTGCCTCCAGCACAAGACCATACCCACGTGCACAGACTGGATGGTCTTGTCAACCTTAAAATAATCATTTTACCAGAAAAAAAAAAAAAAGTCTATTTGGGAACAGCAGTTCAGGACCTGCAAACACTGGCAGACCCATAGGCAAGTCTGGAGAACAAAGGAGGAGAGCATTCCTTTATAGAGAAAAAGGAGGAATTGGGAGAGGCCATTAGGAGCGGAAGCCCATTGGAGGAGAGAGAGCATCCAGGTGGCTTCTCATTGGTCAGGCTGTTGCTGGGCAAGGGGAAAATCTTCCTCTTTCCTGGATAGTAAAATGGTCTTCCTGTTGAGGAGGACAAGGCAGCTTTCTTCCTGCTGGAGTCTGCAGGTGGCCGTGGTGGTCCTGCGTGAGACCTCCACCTCCAGGGCTTCCCCACGTCAATGTTTTTTGTTGTTGTTTTAATATTTTTATTGATTTTTCAGAGAGGAAAGTAGAGGGACAGAGAGTTAGAAACATCGATGAGAGAGAGACATCGATCAGCTGCCTCCTGCACACCCCCCACTGGGGATGAGCCTGCAACCAAGGTACATGCCCTTGACCAGAATCGAACCAGGACCCTCCAGTCCAGAAGCTGATGCTCTATCCACTGAACCAAACCGGTTTCGGCTCCTCACATCAATGTTAATGAGGTTTCCTTGGTTCATTTTCTCAGCCTCAACTACACCTGTCTCGTCAGCTTTAGGCTGAAAACAATATCACTTGCTTAAAAATGCCTGTTGGTTTGCAGGAGGATGTGTTGTGCATAGCTAGATAGACATTTTTTTTTTCTTGGCAAACTCCGTGACTTCTTGTTCGACTCCCAGGTGTTTTAAGCTCACCCTTTGGGAAGTGCCCTGTTAAACCATTGGCTCCCACAGGCCAATGCTCTGCTCTGGCCTTTCCCAGTTTCCTGTGGTTGTCCTAACCCAGTGCCATAGGCTGTGGCTTAACCCACAGAGACCGACTATTTCAGCCTGGAGACCCCGGCGAAGGCTCTGGCGAGGGTCTGCTCCAAGCTTCCTCCAGCTCCTGCTAGGTCCTGGATTTCTCAGTGTCACCCCATCTTCACATGCTGTTCTCCTCCCCTCCCCCGCCCCCCTCATGCATGTCTGTGCCCATACTCCCCCTTTTCATAGGGACATTTTTGCGCTAGGGCCCATTCCACTCCAGTACAACCTCATCTCAACCTAACAAATTGCAGCTGCAAAAACTCTATTTCCAAATAAGGTCAAATTCTGAGGTATCGGGGGCTAGAAATTCAACATGTGAATTGGGTCCGGGGGAGACACACAGTTCAGCCCAGGACATGCTGACACCTGGCTCGTCCCCATGTGGGGATGACGTTCCTTTGGAGGTACTTCCATCTCTCTCATCATCCGCCTGCACAGCCTGCAGCTGGAGCAGGACTTGAAACCGAGCATTTTCTCTTCCTTTGCCCCTTTTTCCTCCCACCAAAGGAACCGTACAAAACGCCAGCGAAAGAAAGAGAAACCTGCAGCCGCTCAGAGCCCACCACACACTCATGTCTGTGGACTTCCAGGCCGAAGGGTGGTGGGAGGCACAGGCCCCTCCCTCCGTGTGTCTGCAGTTCTGCCCAGCAGGCCCTGCCAGGGTCCCCTCCGTAGGGAAAAGATGTCCTCTTCTGACACTGGCCCCTGCATGCCCAGCCTTTGGCCCTCAGGAGGCAAGAGCCTCTGTCCTTGTGGAAGGGATGTAAACACCCATGAGTGGGTGGCTGGGCCCTGGGAGGGTGCAGGCCAGCGCTGAGCCCCACAGAGTGAGGCCATGCTGGTGTCCGCGGAGTTCTACACTGGAGCTCCGACCTCCCAGAGGGCCAGGGCACCAAGCCTAAGGTGACCAGACGTCCCGTTTTTGGCGGGACAGTCCCAAATTTTAACCATTTGTCCCGCGTCCCGCGATGTTTTAAAACAATCCAGATTTTTGGAAAGAAAATCCTCCTGGAAGCTCAATCACCTGGCCGCATCCCCCCAGCCTTTGGGACTTTTTTAAAAACGCTGTGGGACACGGGACAAATTGTTAAAAATCGAGATGTCCCGCCAAAAGTGGGACATCTGGTCACCTTAGCCAAGCCCCTCTTGGGGCTGCACTCTGAACCCCATGCCTCCATCCCCTAGCCCCTCAGGGACCCTCAGACATACCACCTGACATATGTGATGTTTGAGTTAGGACTCTGTGGTGGTTTCATACAGGAGCCTTCACTTCATACACACCCTCAGACTCTCCACAATGTTCTGGTTTTGGGTTGGGCAATACAACCTCCCTCGGCAGCAAGCTGGCCCTCACTCGCTCAGTGCTGGAGGGGCATCTTCTCTGGCATCCCCAGCCCCGGGGCCGATGCTACAGGCCCACTGCACTAACTGTCCTCCTCCACCCTGGCCCCTCCCTCCGGCCCCATTGTCAGCTCGGCGCAGGGGACATCTCATCTAACGTCTACTTTGGCCTGGGTCTTCTCTGTTGCCCCTAGTCCCAGGGGAATCTCTATTACACCCCCTCCCTGGGTCTGGCTGCCCAGGCCCTGCAGGGGACACAGTAGAATGCAGACAGGCCGTGGGCTTGGGGGTGGGGAAGCTGCCCTCCTGGGACCCCGATCACCTGGCCGCATCCCCCCAGCCTCCCTGTGAGAGAGTCAGTACCTGGCACCTTGTCTTCCTGGGACCCTGGGCCCAACACTTCTCCCCGTCCTGGCCAGGACACAGGAAACTCGGTCATCACAGCCACCTCCCGGGAACTCTGACACATCTGCTTTTCCTCACCCTCACCGCCCTGAGTGCCACCCAGCCACCCCGCCCTGCAGCGCCTGCCCGCCCGCTCCCCTATCTGGAGTGATGCGATTGGAAGAAGCTGCTCCTCCATGGGGCCGGTGCCCCAGGCACAATCCCAGGGCCGCTTGGCCGGTGCCCTGCACCAGCCCCGGGAGCTCTGAGTGACCAGTGACCAGGCTCAGGCCCCGTCACACCTCCCCCTGGAGCTGGCGTGTCCCTCGTGCTCCTCATTTACTCCCATCTCCCCAGCTCACTCATCACCAGTCCCCATCCCTGCCCACTCAGTTCAGCCCTTCCCCCCAAACCCCAAACACACGACACGGGCAAGGGTGTGCTGTGCCTTTACTAGAGGCCACAGGTGACAGTGGGTGGCACCGCCAACCTCAGGCTCCACCCCCCAGGCCACCCTCTGGGCCTCATGAGGACCGTCCCCAGAGGCCATCCTGTGTTCTTAGGCAAGCTGGACCCTATTGGAAAGGAGAGGAGGCGCTGGGGATGCTGAGTCCAGGGAGGGTCCCTCCCGGCCATCACTCCTGCCGCTCCTCCAGGCGGCCCAGCACCAGTGCGGCCTGAGTCTTGGCTTCCTGCAGGAGGCTGGAGATGCGCTGGCAGGTCTGAAAGACAAGGGCCAGGTCAGCACCTTGCAACGTTGCCCATCCCTGCTGGCCCAGGCCCTCCCTGCCCCCTCCCTGGGCCACTCTGGCCCAAGCTCCCTGGCCTCTCCGCTCAGGTGCCTGGGCCAACCTGGGCTTCCTCACAGACCTCCTGGTAGAGGTGGGAGGGATCTGTCTGTCCTGAGGCTTGGGGACAGCCAGACCCCAGGGCCCCCTCCCTCCTGGTCTTCCCACGTTAGCCGTGACCCAGGGCAGGGCTGTGTCCCGAAGGCCCAGAGGGGCAGTGTGCATGTGGTCAGTCCTTTAACGTAATGCCCTCGTGGTGGGCAGTGCCTCCCCTGAGGATGGCCAACCTCAGCCTGGCTGGACCAGCCAGAGAGGGACAGGGCCTGGCCCCTGAAAGGGCCACAGTGCCCCCCTTCCCCATTCTCAGCTGTGAAATCGCTTTTTAACAATTATCACAAAATCACAGAGAGAAATCGCATAGTTCAGGTGGTTGGGGCTGGGGCTGGGGTTGGGTCTGGGGCAGGAGAATAGGGGGCTAAAGGATATGGGGGTTTTTATGGAGTGACAAGAATGTTCCAGGACTAGATAAAAAGTGGTGATTACCAACACTGTAAGTGGCTAAAGCCCTGAATTGCATATTTTAAAGTGGTAAATTGTATGTTCTGTAAATTTTACTGCAAGAACATAACAATGAAAGTATCATGAACAGTGAAGCTAAGGTAATTACGTGGGTGGGCAACTGGCCTTGGAGGCCCCATATGGCTGGTGCCCAGGGTCTGGCCTGGCCAGTCTAGAGTACCTCAGCCCCGGGTGGCCCCACTGGCAGGTATGCATAGTGGGCAAGCTCGGGGTGGCTGGGCCACAGCTCCGTCAAGGGCACAGGGGCCCCCATCCCTGCAGCTTTTTGTTCCCCTGACAGGACCGGCCCAGGTCCTTCCTGAGGTGATGGAAAAGGAAGTGCCACCAGAGAGGGGACAGCAGCTGCCCTCCCCCTGCGGGAGGCTGAGCACACTTCCCTGAGGGCCCGCTGCCAGAGGCTCTGGCCGTGTCAGCAAACCACAGACCTGCGGGCCCCTCCGTGGGCCTGGCCCCGAGCGCCTGCTGCTCACCTGGTCCTTGAACTTGTCGTCGCTGATGTCCTTCAGGTTGATGAGCACGTTGAAATACGCACCGAACATGCCCGTCTCCAGGGCCTTGGCAGCCACCTGCAAGGTCACAGGGACAGGGCTGGTGGCGGGACTCGCCCTGTCCACCCTCAGCAAGAGCCCCACGGCCTGGGTTGGGCAGCAGCATCTGGGATGCCAGCAAGTGCCTGCCCCTCGGAGCCCTCCCAGTCATCCATGATGATGGCAAACGAATCACCAAGCATCCCCCAGAGGCAGCAGCTGGGCAGCCCGTCCGAGGAGGCCCACCCTCATCCCACAGCGGGGAGGGGGCTCCAGCCTTGTTCATCCAGAGGACAGAGGCAGCCACCACAGCCTGACTCTCCACCTTCGGACTTAGACATGGAGCCTAGCACAGCAGCCTCGGGGCGGGCTGGACCCTCTCCTGGGTCACCGTTGTGAGTGACCGTGAGTGGAGCGAGCACAGTGGCCAGTCCCTTGGGAGGAGCATGGTCCTCCCTGGGGCTCCTGGACCCTGCGCCATCCAGCGTCCAACAGGCCAGGCCCACATCACGGCCTCGGTGGTCCCTGACCTCACGGGCACTGAACGCTACATGTGCACAGGCCTGTACGGAGCTGGCTATAGTGGGGCTCTTAACGAGTTCCGACATGTTAGATGCTCACAGGGTCCCCCTGGACAAGGAGATGCCGGAGCACAGCAGGAGCACAGGAACGGTAGGCACCACAGCCCGTGAGTCCAGGCAGCTTCCGTCCTTGACCGCTCAGACTCGGCCGCCTTCCCAGGGAAGGAGGGGACCCTTCTCTGCCCAGACACTGAACTCGGGAGTGTCTCTCTTATAAAGACCCAATAAACTGTGGGGTCAGAATTCAAGGGCCAGCAATCACAGTCCCGAGCCCTCCACACACAGGGCTCGCGATGTGTGCGCACCTGTGAGCTGTCTTTAGTGTTTTCTAGAGCTGGAGGCCAGGAGGAGGGAGAGGGGGAGACCCAGAGAGGGAGGAGGAGGGGAGGAGGAGGAGGAGGAGGAGGAAGAGGCATCAGGAGGGTCAGGCGTGGGCTCTGGAGACTCGTTTGAGTTCCTCTTATCTGCCCTGCAGCCCTGAACAAGATCCTGAATGTTCCATCTTCAAAGGAAATCACCACACCAGCCCTGCTGGCTGACGCTGAGCCAAGACCACCTGGTACGTGCTCCTGTCCAGGCCACGGTGTTTAGCAAACACCATGAAGGTCTGTGATCGCCCTCCACATGGCTGCTCCCCCGACAGCGGGAGGCCAGGCTCCGCCGTGTACCTGCAGGTCCGACCGGCAGGCCAAGTTCACGCACAGGGCCAGCTCCTGCAGCGGGGGCCACAGCGAGGCCACCGTCTCCGCCAGCTCCAGGGGCACCGTCACCGCCTGTCTCAGCCCCTTCTGCAGGGCGGCTGCTCGCCTGAAACCAAGGGGGTCATGGAAGCCCAGGTCACGCAGGAACCCCACCCGGGACCCCACCCCCACAGCAGCACGCAGACAGAACCAGGGTGAGGACACCAGGAAAGCCACTCTTTCATCACCGGCACATGCGCAGAGGGGAGACTGATTGGAAATGAGACCCTCCCGAGTCTCCTGCACCCCGCGGGCCGCGGCACCCCCACCTGTCCTTCTCCTCCGGGGTGCTCCGAGGCAGCTTCATCGCTTCCTGCCGGGACAAAGCACAGAGACACATGGGTGAGGGGCAGCCATGCCCGGGCCCCTCGGGAGCCTGGGCTGGGCAAGGGCAGCCTTGAGGCAGTGCCCACATCACCATCAGAGTTGGCATTTCCATGTAGCACAGGCTTCCGTGGGGGTTCATGGTGTTGGGCCCCCACAAAGGAAGGCGGACTGACTCAGGGACCCCACAGCGGGCACTAAGGACTGGAGAGGAAGGGCTGGCAGTGGCTTCAAGCACTAGAGGGGTCTGGTGAGGTCTGCGCGCCCCAGCCCTCCCATAGTACCTGGCCTGCAGTCCATGGTTCAATGGTACGACCCCCAAAATCTAGACATAAAGGCTCACACTGTGTCCCCACCGAAGGCACCCGTGCTCTGGGTGGTCACGCTGGGCCTGTCGCTCCCCACAATGTGCTCTTGCTCCTTTGACCCTGGTTTGTGTGCCCCTCGACTGTGGGCATGGCCATGGCCAGGCCCTGCCCTCCTGCAGGATTTCGAGACCCACGCCATGGCACACAGCTTTTCCTCCTGCGGATTCCCGCTTTCCACGGACCCCACGCCGGCCCCGCTGGGCACTCACCAGGCAGGCGGTGAAGGCCTGGGCGTCCGCGTCCACCAGCGCCGCCAGCCGGGCCGAGGCCGCGTGGAAGGGCGGGATCAGGCGCCGCATGGTGGCGTCCAGGTGCTCGAACTGGCGCCGCCCGTAAGTCATCAGGCCGGCCATGCAGGCCAGCGAGGCCCCCTGCGGAGGGGCCAGCTGAGGGCCTGGGACCCCTGTCACCACCCTGTCCTTGTCCACAGCCCTCTCTGCCCCTGTCCCTACCCCACCCAGCCCCTGCTCCTCCCCAGCTCACCATGGCGGCACTGGCCGCGGCCACAGAGCCGCCCCCGGGGGTCGCCGAGCGGGCGCCCACCTCCCGGACAAAGGCCTGCAGGGACTTGTCCATCAAGCTCTGCCCAGGCCCGCTGTTGGGGACCAGGTACCTGCGGGAGCCAGAGGGACAGGGATGGGGCCCTGGGTCATAGCTACAGACTGGGAAGGAAGGTCCGGCTCAGACCACAGTCCCTAACTCCAGCCTGCCCCTCTGGCCCAGCCTCATGGCAGGAGAAAGGGGATACAGCCCCGGTTTGCAGAGCAGCCACAGCCTGGGAGGGGCTGTGACCACCCCCGAGTCTCTCCCCCGCCCCCCCCACCCCCCCAGGACAGAGCAGAACCTTGTTGGGGCCTCACTGCATTCCCGAACCAGCCCAAGCCTGCTTCTGGCTCAGGCACCCTGTTGTTTGCTGATGAATAAGTGATCAAGCAGAAGGCTCTGGAAGGATGGAGGCTGGGCCAGCAGGATGGGGGGCCAACGGAGGGACTGGGGGGCTGCTCACTCGATGATCCGCTCCTTAGGATTGAAGGGGGACAAGGAGTCCAGGCCCAGCCTGTTCACCACCTGGAAAGGAAGCGGCTGGTGACCGACAGCCACCCCAGCCCTCCCCCGTGCATAAGGAAGGCCACCGAAGGGCCAGCCCCCCGCAGCGCACGGCAGCGGTCCCCCCTGACCCAGCCGGGGTGTGGGGAGGGTGGTGGGGCGCAGCCGGCCACGCTCTCGCCCACGAGGAGCCCTGTCACCGCTGGCTCCCGTCTGAGCTGAGCCCACCTGGGAGAGCACCTCGCCCGGAGCAGGCACCACATCCGTCTGTACACACTTTCTGACACATCCACCCCCCGTGTCACTCCACAGACAAACCGAGGCCCAGAATGGGAAGCTGCCCACCTGGTCCCTCAGCTGCTGGCCTCGCTCTGAACCACACGGGCCTCCCCTCGTGTCCCTCAGATGCCCCCCCCCCCTCCCGACAAGATTCTGTCTCCTCGGGTGTAGACAACTCACTAGTTCTTAAGCCCAGGAGCTGCCCGATTCGCCGAAACACAAGACATGTTATGTGAGGAAAAGTGCAGTTTGCCTAAACTCAAAATTAAGTTGGAACCATCTGCATTTAAGATTAGCATTCTTCCCACCAAATAAACATCCAAAACATTTTATGGTGCCTTATGCCAGCGACACCAGCCCGGCTCCTTCTGAGCCAGAGTGGCTGATCCTTGTACACAAAACAGAAGGTGGCAAGTGCTGCAGAGAGGAACAAGCCACCAGGGCCCGGAGGGGAGGGGGGGGGGGGAGGGATTGTCCTCAAGAACGTGGGGATCGGACAGGCAGAGAGACCCTTGGAGAGTTTGCTTGTCGCATCCACATGACGCAAAGCCCTGCTGACACCGACAACCGCAGAGCGAGGGACAGAGCTTGTCCACTGAATGTAGACACCCGGCTACACTGGCAGGGAGCAAAGGAACCCATTCGAGGCCAGAAGTGACCGGGAAGGGGAAGCAGAAAGGCCTGCTCCCTCGGAGGCTGGTCCCTGGGGATATGTGAGCACCTCTGCACCCCTCCTGAGCCTTCATGAGTGGGGGTCAGACTGCAGTCCCCTGAAAGGAGACATCCCCAAGAATGAACTAGAAAATTAAGTTTCTGAAGGGCATAACCCAGCCAACAGACAAGAAAGGAGACTGGGGGGAAAGGAGAGGTGCACGCTGACCTCACTTTCTTATAGAACTACAAGAGGCCCAACGCACGAAATTTGTGCAGGGTAGGGTCCCTAGGCCTGGGCTGGCGATCAGGGCTGATCTGTGGGGTGACCAGCGAAGTGATCAGGGGAGCCCCTGCTGGCATCCACCTTGGCTGGACTGGGGCCTGCAGGCAGGGCGCAGCTCTTGCATTGGGTGTCTGCCCCCTGGTGGTCAGTGCACATCATAGAGACCAGTATTCCTCTGTTCAGTCATTTTGCATATTAGGCTTTTATTATATAGGAAGGTTAATTACCCATGGATGCTTAACATATGTAACATATGTGGATTTGGGCACAGAAGGCCTATGTGATATATTTGACTATGTAAAAATAACAACACGGCCATTTAAACCGGGAGCAGAGAAGACTGCTCGCACAGTGCGTTAATTTTCTTATCTTTCTTCACCAAGTCAGCAGGCATTGTTTAATATTGATAAAGTGCTGAAAGATTAAGTATATTATTAAACTTAAAACTTGAACCACTGACAACTAACAAGTGAATTCAGCAAAGTAGTTGAATACCAAGTCAACACACCACAGTCAGCTGCATCACTATACACAATGAGCAATCGGAAAAAGAAATTGTAAAAGCAATTTCGTTGAAAATTGCATCAAAAAGAATAAAATACTTGGGGATTAATTAACCAAGAAGGTGAAAGGTTATACAATGAAAACTACAAAACACTGCTGGAAGGATTTAAAGAAGACGTGCACCAATGCAAACACATCCCAGAGTCGTGGATGGAAGGCATTGTGGATGGCAATGCCGCCCAGAGCGACTACAGATTCAACAAAATCATCAAAATCCCAATGACGCTTAAACCGGTTTGGCTCAGTGGATAGTGCGTCAGCGTGCGTACTGAAGAGTCCCAGTTCAATTCTGATCAAGGAAATGTACCTTAGTTATGGGCACATCCCCTGTAAGGAATGTGCAGGAGGCAGCTGGTCGATGTTTCTAGCTCTCTATCCCTCTCCCTTCCTCTCTGTAAAAAATCAATAAAATATATCTTTTAAAATCCCGATGACATTGTTTGCAAGTACAGAAAACCCTCCCTGGAAGGTAGTGACTGACTGCACAATATCATGAGTGCATTTACTGTCACTGAACTATGCACTTAAAAATGGTTATGATGAGGCCGAAACCGGTTTGGCTCAATGGATAGAACGTCGGCCTGAAGACTAAAGGTCCCTGGTTCGATTCCGGTCAAGGGCATGTACCTTGGTTGTGGGCACATTCCCAGTGGAGGGTGTGCAGGAGGCAGCTAATCGATGATTCTCTCTCATTGATGTTTCTGACTATCCCTCTCTCTTCCTCTCTGTAAAAAGTCAATAAAATAAAATTTAAAAATCTAAAAAAAAAAAAAATGGTCATGATGGCAAATGTTACGTTCTGTGTATTTTACCCCAAATTTAAAAAGGGGGGGAATTAAGCACCAAATGACCCCCTAAAAAATACTGTAACTCTAAAAAAAATAAAATCAGAAAATAGAGAAAAAAGAAGAAATGTATTTAGCTTCTCATTTTCATAAAAAGTGGTTGATAAAAATCAATAAATTTGAAAATTTTTAATGCAATTTTAAAATGGGGGGGCGGGGGGGCAATAGAAAAAGTAAATATATTGAGTTAGAACAGTAATTACCAGAATACCTAGAAACTAGACTAACTTGCAGGTACAGGAACCAGAAGGAACCACACCCACACAGCCCGACACGCCTGAAAGCAGGCATACCTGCTGAACTGGCAGATACTCAGAGATAACTTCCACCTCCAAACAAAAGCTGCCAGAGAAATCCAGTCATTGCTCGAGGTAAGACACATGCTCAGAGTGGAAGGAACCCGGGTGGGCGGAGCCATAAGGAACAAATGGAAGGAACCATATAAATCTGTGGGCCCAGGAGCCGGAGCCTCGCTCCCACATCTGGTAGTGTGAGCAGGCTGGAGGTGCCTCCCGATCAGACAGCAGAGGGAAGGGAGGGAGGCCAGAGGACAGTCCTCCCGCCAGATTTTTTACGGGACAGAACACATTTAACGCCACAAAGAAAACCCCAAGAGTGCCCCCAAAAGGAAAATCTTACGATCTCACCTTCTAAGCACAGAGGATAAAACAAAGGAGGAGGAATGAGTCCCGGCCCCAGGCACAGGGCTGCAGCCCTTGCGTGGGCACCTCCAGTACCCAGACCTGCTCCCGGGAACCTGGGGTTCACGCGGGGCTCCCGCCCCACCCCGCCCCACCCCGTCCCACCCCGCCCCCCTCAGGGGCGCAGCCCACCAGCCTGATCCGCTGCTCCTCCTCCAGGATGAAGAGGTTCTCCTTCTCGCAGTAGAAGGCCGCGGCGTCCAGGAGGGTCTTCAGGGGCACCAGCCCCACCAGCTGCGAGCCCACCACCGGGAGGTTCAGCTCCTGCAGGGGCCCAGCAGCGTCAGCCCCCGGGCTGGGCTTGAGGACCCCCAGGAGGGAGGAAGGGGTGCCACCCTGCCCACCTGGGCTTCTCTGCAGGTTTCCTCATAGACTGTGTGCAGCGCCGTGACCTCGAAGTCCAGGAGGTTGGTGGACACCTGAGCCAGGTTCTTCTCATCCAGGTACCAGCCAATGGCCTGGACCTTTTTCAGACGTCCTGGCTGCGAAGGAAGAGCCTTTCCCAGCCCAGGCCCTCGCCAGCCCCTCCTGGCTCCTGGTGAGAGCCCTTTGCCCCTGCTCCCCCGGGGAAGAGGCGGGAGAGGAGGAGGGCGGGTGCGTTGGCCCACCGTGGCCCGCAGAGGGGTGGTGCTCCCAGATGGCCACGTGCACATGGCCCCCCTCCTCTCTCTCCCTCGCTCTCATCAGAGCCAGCAGGAAGGGACTGCCCCACAGGGAAACGGAGGCCCCGTAGGGCCAGGCTCCAGGATGCTCACCCCCACGGGCAGCAGACTCAGACAAGGCCCTGCCCATTAGCCCACACTCTACCCGCACTATGTCCTGGGGGCCAGCCCAGGGCCACCCCCACCCAGCTCCAAACTCCTGTGTTTGGTCTCTTCCTTCCACTGCACCCCTCACCCCAGAGCCCGGCTCTCAGCCCCTCATCCTTGGGGTGATTCAACCCATCTGAAGAGGGACCTCTGACCTCTGACCTCTGACATCAGCCAGAGCAGAAAGAAGGATTTGGGGTTCTCCTACATTTGTGTTGTGCTTACACAACAGCAGCGTCTGCAGGCTGGGGATCTGGGTCTCTGGAGATGGGGAGCTGGCAGGTGGGCAGAGCATTGCCCTCCACCTCCTTCACCCGGTGTGTCTACCTGTGTCCAGCTAGAACTTTCTACAACAGTGATGCTCGATCTGAGTGACAGCTACTGTGGCAGAGTAGGTGGGTCGGGGCACCTGAGAGTACCCGGGGGTGCCTGGGAGGGTCTGGGAATATCTGGGGGAACCTGAGAGTCCCTGGGTAACTGGGGCTCAGGAAGCAGCTGTGTACCTATCAGGGTACCGGTAGGCATGCCGCCATATTGTAACCAAGGGGACCACCTGACTGCTTCCATGGAAAACATCCTTTAAAGCAAGTGCTCCCCCAATTCAGACACTGGAATCCCACCCTGACTCTCCTCACGTGGCCTGGGCACCGAGGCTGGGCTGGCACAGGTCCACACCACGGGGCCACACCGCCTCTGACCCGCGCCCTGAGCCACTGGTGACCCACGGGACACGCCCAGCCCACGGGGGCAGGCGAGCCTGGCCGCTCTCACCTGGTCCTGCCCGCGGCCCTGCTCCCGGAGGTTGAGGGCGATGCGGTGTGCCTGCTCCTTGGTGCTGAGCAGGTTGATGTTGAAGGCGATGAGGAACTTGCGGGCCCCTGTGACGGTGGCCCCCCAGCTGGGGGTGAAGGTGCTGGGGCCAAAGTCAGGTGCCCACTCTGCCTGCCGGAGCTGTAGGGAGACTCACCCTTGGGGGTTGCACCCCAAGGAAGGGGTGCCCCGCTCGGGCTGGGGAAGGGGAAAGGAAAAGGGTGCACACCCCTGGGGCTCACCCCAAACCCACCCGCCATCGAGGGAATACGGCACCTTCTCAGGCAGGGCCTCGTACTCCCCCGCCCGGATGGCCGGCAGGGTCCGGCGACTGGCCACCCGCGCCGCCTCGCCGTACAGGTACACTGCAAGGGGGGCCTGGCCGGTCAGCCCTGGCGGCTGGGCACTCCAGCCCCCCATTCCCAGAGGAGAACCGAGACACCACTCCCGCCAGCCTCAGCCCAGAGGACAGACCTCTGTCAGGCCCTGTCTCACTCGGGTGGCCACTGATGGACACTCAGTGTGGGCCAGTTCCACCCCTCTGCCCACCCCGGGGCAGGACCCTCGCTGTTCCCCCTGGACAGACACTCCTGAAAAAGCCACCGGCCGACCGGGAGAGCTGGGGCACGCTACTGGGAAAACGTCCACATTTCTTCCTAAAACGTATTTTCATTGCACCATCAATACGACCACACATTAAGGAAACTCACCACAAGCTCCCCAACACCCGCACGTGCACAGGGACAGCTGCTGTGGCTGAATAGGTGGGTCGGGGCACATGTGTGCTACTCCCCACATCTGCACAGGGTGGAACATGTGCCCCCGTGCTCACGTGTCCTGCCCATCATGCACTTTGCTTCTAACTTGTCCCCATGTGTACCAGGTCATTCTCTTGAGGTGGCCAGTCCCCCCAAGCAAAATGACTCCCTAGGGCTGTCCACTTGTCTGACTAAGTCACATGACCAAGTGCTGCCCAGGCCTGGTTCCCACTGCCTCGATGCCTGGAGCCCAGGGTCTCCCTAGGCTGGGGCTTCCATTGCTTTTATCTCCTCATGCAAGAAACAGGAATGTTCTGTCAGTTTGCTGGTGGCAGTTTTTCAGGTGTTTTGTTTTTGTTTGTGTTGTTTTTTGTTGTTTTTTTAACAATCTGCATGTTTAAGGGGTCATGTGTGCATTTTATACGAGAACCAAAATACAAGCATTTATGGTGAAGGGTGCTGGTGGGAACTGAATGTGAGAAGGAGCTGGCTGAGGAAACCCCTGAGATCAGGACGCCCTCCTCGGCGAAGGGGGTGGGGCACTCACCTGGCACGCCCAGCTCCTCTGCCAGCCGCTGGCCAAAGGCCTGGGCACAGAGCACACACTCATCCATGCCAACGCCCCTCACCGGGATGAAGGGGCACACGTCCAGGGCTCCCATCCGAGGGTGCTCCCCTGCAGAGAGACGGAGGCCGAGGCTCAGGAGGCCCGGCTGTGGGCGCGGACAAGGGCTCGGTGGGTTCCCCAAAACCTATCCCGTAGGCCCCATCTGCCCCACCATCCACACACTGAGCCGTTCGCGCCAACCACGGGGAGGCTGGGGGAGGCAGGCCCCCGGACCTGGGCCTCTGGGTTGTGCAAAAACTGCAGAACGGAGCCGGGCTGCCATCCCAGACGGGCTGCCTGGCACGCTTTACCCCTCAGACTTTGGAATGTTAGGACGGGGCAGAACAACGTGTGGACTGGGCCTAGAGCAACACGGTGTCCCAAAGAACTATTTGCAAAGATAACAGGAAAGCAGCTATTACGACAACCCGGCTGAAAATCTTTTCAAGGCACGCTTCAGACTCAGCGTCACCGTGTTATCTGCACAACAGCACCATCTTCCTTTTCCTGATGGAGTTGTCCTCACCCCCTTCTCCTAAGTGCCCAGTGCCTTTGTCTCCCAATCTGAACACTATTTAGGCTCCTGCCTGAATCAGTGTTTCCCCAAAAGCTATTCTTTGATCTCCAATAAATGCCTGTTGCCTCTCGCTTTGCCCTTTTATGTTTAGGTGAACACAGTCAACCCCTCTCTCTCCTAAAAACCACAAAGAAAAACATGCAAGAGCTTCGAAGCTGTGCTCTCCGAGGGTCCTGGCCAGGCTGGAAGGCCCTCCTGGCCTCATGCTGGCCTCCAGCCCTCCCTCCCTCCCGGGCAGCTGGGACTCCATGCTGAGGGTCCTGCTGCCAGCCAGCAGCCCCCCAAAGATAGCAACCCCCTCCCCTCCCCAGCGCTTCTCCCCTTCCCCAGTCAACTCCTTGATCGATTGGAGATGAGCCCCCATTTTCTCAACAGTTGAGGTCACTTGTGAATTCCCTGCCTGTGGACCTGGCTGGTCTCCCGCTGTGAGTGGCCAGAGACCTTTGGCCCTGCCTGCCACCTGAAGTGTTTGGCTTTGCAGGCTGTTGACAGGTCGGTTTCCAGCAGGGCCCTGTCTTCACCTCGCCCTCCCTCCCCACCCCCGGGCCTCACTGCCGGGTCACCCTGAAATGTGGACGGGGTCGCCACGCACCTCTGCCTGGCACAGTGGGTTCCATGGGCCGCAGACCCCTCGGGGGCCATGGGGGCCCCCCATTCCATGCCCGGTGGGCGAGAACAGCCCTCACCTTTGTGCTTGCTCATGTCAATGAGCCGGAAGGCAGCCCGGGCGGCGTTGAGGGCCCCCTCCACCACGTCCTCGGGCCGCCCCACGAAGGTGTAGACGGTGCGGTTGGTGGAGGGGCCGGCGTCCACGTCCAGCAGCACGCAGCCAGGGGTCTGCGCCACGGCTTGGGCGATGGCATCGATCACCTGGGGCGAGAGCCCGGCCCACACCTCGGTTTCCCCACGTGGAAGAGGGACGACAGACCAAGGGGTGCCTGTGCCTCTCCTGTTCCCCACCCAACCGAAGGTGCACCCAGCAAGCTGCCCTGAGCGTCTGGGAATTCCCCGGCGGGCAGGAGCCTGGCTATCGCCATTGGCCCTGCAGGAGAGACTGAGACAGGAAGCAGCACCGGGCAGAGGAGCTGCTGGGGCTCAGGGGAGGCGACCCACAGGCCAAGGTTACGGAAGATCAGGGTTCCAGCCCCTCCACGAGGCTTCCAGTGGGAGTAGCTGCATCAGGGAAGGGGCACGAAAGGCCCAGAACCTTCTGAAGTGACAAAAATACCCCGTGCTTAGAAGCAGGGACTCGGGGCCCAGACTGCTCTGTGGCCCTCGGCAGCCTGCCCCACCTCTCCGTGCCTCAGTTTCCTCAAAGGCGATGTGAGGGTACCAGTGCTCACCTGATACGCTATGGGGACTGGGGGACAGGGGAACCATGGCAGAGATCCTCAAACAGCCTGTGGGGTCGGGGTTGGGACCCCATTTTCACGAGAGGCCAAGTGATTTGTTCAAACCTGGATCAGGACCCCTGCCTGACCACCCCGCTGCCTCACCCCCCTGCCCCAGGTCAGTCATTTCTGAGGTTCCCCCACTTACGGGGCACACATGTCGCTGTGGCTGATGGGAAGTGTCCCCTTTGAGAGAAGACACTCCCAACCCCATACCAAACAGACCCCTCGCTCCTCGCCCCATGCCCCTTGCGCTGCCCCCCTGGCACCTCACCTCCTGGTTGTTCCCCTCTGAGAAGTTGGGGACACATTCCACCAGGCGAGACATGGTCCGGGCTTTGGTCCTCAATCAAGACGCTCTACTCACAGACAGGAGGAGGGAAGGACGGGCAGGCCTCTCCAGTGCCCGGCAGGCTTTTATACACCCCCACCCCCACCCCGGCTGCTTATTAACCATCGTGATGGTGAGGAGAGGGGGCAGGCTGGTCCCTGTACAAACACCAAGCGAGCTGTCCCGGGAGGGGCAGAACCAGGATCCCAGTGAGGCTGAGATTCCAGGCGGAGGAGGAGGAGAAGGAGGAGGGATCGCTCTGGCAGGGTGGGCGCCCCTGATAGAAGCTCCTGTGGCCGGGACCCTCATGGGGAGAAGTCCTCACCGGACCCCTAGGTCAGCTGGGACTCCACTCCCATCGTGGCCTGTGGTCCTCTGGTGGCCATCGTGTGAACTGCTTCATGACCCTCCGGGTGACCCTCTGGGCCTCCGTTCATTCATGTGAACACCAAGCTTCAGGGCATCCAAGGGCCAAGAAGGACCCTGTGAGGCCTCAGCACTGCCCGGCTCTGGGCAGAGGTCAGCTCGGCCCGTCAAGCAGGAAAGTAGGGGGAGAGTAAGTGTGTCCTGGCGTGTGGATGCCCCGGTGCGCAGGAAGGCCGGGCGAAATCCCAGCTCTCCCCAGCCGTGGTCACTGCTCCCCGAGCCCGGGGAACCCCACAAAGGGGCAATGTGCCCCCAGGCAGCAGCGTGAGATCCTACACTCAGAGGGCTGTGCTCAGGTCAACGCTGTCTTGACGTTTTAGATTATCTTTTTTTTTTTTTTTTTAATGTACCGGTATTTATTGATTTCAGAGAGGAAGGGAGAGAGAGAGAAACATCAGTGATGAAAGAGAATTATTGATCAGCTGCTTCCTGCACGCCCCACACTGGAGATCAAGCCCACAACCTGGGCATGTGCCCTAATTGGGAATTGAACAGTGACCTCCTGGTTCATAGGTCAATGCTCAACCACTGAGCCACACCAGCCGGGCTAGATGATCTTTAATTAGGACGGGCATTTCATTCTGCAAAGGCCCACCAGTCATGTGGCCACTCTAACAACATGTGGGCACTGCACAGGTCCCCCCTTTGTCATTCTCCCGGGCACAGGTACCCCACACAGCTGTTAGGGTAGTCAGTGTCTGAGGCTTTCACCCCTCAGCGGACATTGTGGGGCTAAGGCGAAGAGGTGCCCAGATCTTCAGATCCCCAGCTGTTTGATTCATAGGAATTCGGAGGAAGAGGGGCCCACCACCCTGGACAGGCAGGCAACCCCAGAGACTCTCAGAGGCTGGGGACCAGCTGGGTCCTCTCCAATCTTGGCTCCCCTGGGCGAATGCAGGTGACCGTGTTGTGACAGCCACACAACCTCCAGGGCCCACAGAGGGGTTGTGGCAGCCTTGGCAGCACCTGGCAAATGCCACAGGCCCAGCTGGGGCTGCTCTCCAAACCCGCCCTGATGCCTCCAGCCTGGGAGCACCCAGAAGTGCCCTCCAGCACCTCTTGTGGCAGAGGCCCCGGTGCTGCACGCGTGCACCTGCAGAGGCCCCCAAGAGGCGAGGGGCCCTCAGCCAGAGGTCGGTGTCCAGGGCTGGAAGGGATGGTCTGTTATAGAATGGTTGTGACCCTAAATTCACACATCAAAGCCCTAACCCCTAACGTGGCTGTATTTGGGGGGAGAGGGGATCTTTCCAGAAGTAAATGGGTGAAAGTGAGATCACTGATTTAAGGTGACCAGATCATCCCCTTTTGGCGGGACAATCCCGATTTCCAACAATTTTTCCTGCGTCCCGCAACATTTTTAAAAAGTCACCATATTTTAGCCGGGACCGGTTTGGCTCAATGGATAGAGCGTCGGCTTGGGGACTGAAGGGTCCCGGGTTCGATTCCGGTCAAGGGCATGTACCTTGGTTGCGGGCATATCCCCAGTAGGGGGTGTGCAAGAGGCAGCTGATGGATGACTCTCTCTCATCGATGTTTCTAACTGTATCTCTCTCCCTTCCTCTCTGTACAAAATCAATAAAATATATTTTTTTTAAAAGTCACCATATTTGGAAAGATTGGAAAGATTGGAAAGATTCTTTCCAAAAATGGGGACTTTTTTAAAATGCCGCGGGACGTGGGAGAAATTGTTGGAAATCGGGACTGTCCCGCCAAAAGCGGGACGATCTGGTCACCTTACATTGAACAAGACCGGTGTCCCTATAGAGGAGGAAATTAGGCATAGACATGCAGAGGGGCAGCCATGTGAGGACACAAGACACAACGGTGTGTACATGCCAAGGACAGGCCTCGGGAGCCAGCAGCCCGGTGGCACCTGTGGACTGGGGGACAGTGATGTCTGTTGTCTCAGCCACCCATTCTGTGCTGCAGCCTGAACTGTCCATCACGGAGGCCTAAGGTCCAGGACGGCCAGGAGACACCAGGCTGTGAGGACTGAGGGACAGGTTGCCCCACACAAGGGTTGGCCCAGAAACCCCAACACTTTCCTCCTGGTCCCCACCACAGAGAAGTGACTGGAGACACTTGAAGCCAAACCCCAGGGAGGAGGCCATGCCAGGCCCTGGAGGTCCCCTTCCCTCTCTAGACCTCAGAGAGACGGGCCCGAGGGCGCCAGCAGAAGCAGCGGTACATTTCCTGTGGGGACGGTCCTGGGCCAGGGCTTGGCCATGGCTGGGACACAAGATGCTGGGACTGGACCTCCAGTGACGCCGGGTTTTGAGACATTAAAAATTCTAGTAGGGCCTTAGCCAGTTTGGCTCAGTGGATCAAGCCTGCAACCTAGGTATGTGCCCTTGACCAGAATCGAACCTGGGACCCTGTAATCTGCAGGCCGATGCTCTATCCACTGAGCCAAACCTGCTAGGGCAGTGGTCGGCAAACTCATTAGTCAACAGAGCCAAATATCAACAGTACGACGATTGAAATTTCTTTTGAGAGCCCAAAACCGACTTCTGCGCATGGGCCACAAGGTTTCAATCACACTGTACATGTGCGTCCACACGTGGTATTTTGTGGAAGAGCCATACTTAAGGGGCCAAAGAGCCGCACGTGGCTCGCGAGCTGCAGTTTGCAGACCCCTAGGCTAAGGCAAACTTCCTAAGGTTTGAACAAGGGGCCTGCGTTTTCGTTTTGCCCAGGGCCCAGCAGAGTCCGCTGCCATCCTGCCTGCCCCTCTGAACCCTTGCCTCAGGCTCTGCTTTTGGAAAAAACCCAGACAGTGACACGACCCTCTGGCCCTTTCAAGGGGAAGGTCCTTGAGGATAGGGGGGCTGGGTGCCTGAGCCTCAGCCCTTCCCCCTCGGGGCCCTGTCCCGGTGTCAGTCCACAAACACCAGGGCCGCCTCCTGTGTGCAGCCCCAGCCACGACCGAGGCCCTCTCAAGCCCCCAAAGAGCCGAAGGTAAACAAGTAAACAGATGATTTTAATAAAGGGTGACAGGTGCCACGCGGGTGTGGGCGCTGGCGGGGCTGTGGGCGCTGGGGGCGCCCGGCCGGTCCACGAAGGTGCCTGCTCTTGCGCGACGTGCCCGCCTGTGGCCCGGGGCTCGCCCTCGGCGGACACGGCCCTGCCCCCGCTGGAGGGGGCGCACCGGAGGCGCGGGCGGCCCCCAGGTTTGGAATTTGGAACAAACGTGTTTATTGCAGGACAGGCGTGGCGGGCGCCGGGGCGCCGGCTCACCAGGCGAAGAGCGGCTTGCTGTCCTCCTTGGAGAGCTCGCACAGGCAGTTGAGCAGCAGCAGCGAGTCGCCCAGGAACTTGGGGGGCACGATGTCAATGACCAGCTTGCGCAGGGCGGCCGGGCTGCTGTGCAGCGGGTTGGCGCGCAGGTCGGGCCGCTGCTTCAGGATGCCGTAGGTGTTGATGAGGAACTCGCTGAACACGGGGTGCACCTCGCGGCTGTAGCCCAGCTTCTCCAGGCGCGCCATCAGCGTCAGGTAGCGGTGCGTCAGCTCCCGCAGCTTCTTCTCGTCCACGGAGCCGTCCAGGGACTTGATGGACGTCTGGGGGGACACGGCGCATGGGGAAGGCGGGGCTTGGCCACAGGACCCAGCACGGAGGCCAGGGTGGGGACGGTACCCAGGTTTCCGTGAAGGAAGCTTCACAGGCGGGCACACCGGCCCAGGGCCAAGCTCCCCGCCACAGCATGCTGAGCCTCCCACTCTCTCCTCCAGCAGACGGTGTCAGGGACAAGAACAGGGCCCCTGAGGGACAGGTTGCCCCACACTAAGGTTGGCCCAGAAACCCTAACACCTTCCTCCTGGTCCCCACCACAGAGAAGTGACTGGAGACATTTGAGGCAATGCCAGGGAGGAGGCAATGCCAGGCCCTGGAGGTCGTCCCCTATCCTCAGAGAGACAGGCCCTTGGGCTCCAGCGGGAGCAGTGATACATTTCCTGCGGGGACGGTCCTGGGCCAAGGCTTGGCCACGGCTGGGACACAAGATGCTGGGGCTGGGCCTGGGGTGACGCTGGGTCAACCCGTTCTGAGCCCCAGAGCCACTCCCAAGACTGTCCCAGGCCACAAGGCAGAGGTGCTCATGGCAAGGGCTCAGCACACCCCATGGTGTGTGTCCTGGACCCCCCTCAGCCTCCCCCAGGTCTCCACAGGGTATCACAGGTGACCGGCAGGGAGGAGACCCTGGGGCAGGACGGTGACCCCCACGGGACCAGGAGACACACCTGCTTGATCTTCTCGGGGATGTTGGACACGGTGAAGCCATAGAGCCGGGTCACCCCGGGGAAGACGTAGGCCAGGATACGCCTGTCCAGCTGGAAGGCGATCTCCCCGACGATGCGCCCGTCCTTCTCCGAGCTGGTGAAGCTGTGGATCTCTGGGGGCGGGGGGGGGAGGGGGGGATGGTGAGACAGGCTGGGGTGCCCCACACAGAGGACCAAGGGCCAGCCGCCTTCCTCCTGCCTGTGCTCCAGTGTCCATTGGAGGGAAAGGGCCAATTTGAATGTGGCCACTGCAGGTCCCAGGTGAAGCACTGACAGGGGCCTCCCAGGGCCCCAGTCTCAGTGGTGATGTATAGGCACCTTCCTCCAGCCCCCACGGGGAGGGTAAAAGAAAACTGAATTTTCTGTTGCCAGAAAGGAAAAGGATCCTTCCTCTCTTCCTTTTTCTTAGCGTGTTCCCTAGGAAACCTGGGGTGCTAAGTCCTCGCTCCATCCCTTGGGATGTTTTACAGCCCAGGATTGTTTTTCTTGTCCCCCGGTTACCAGAGAGTCTGCCCTCCATCTGGATCAAGCCCCCAGGTGAATACAAGATGCCCAGGCCTGTCCCGTCACCCAAAGATGGGGTACTGAGTAACATGAGAACATGTATATAACGCACATAACAAGTCTAAACTGCCTGGCTGGCTGGTGAAAGGAGAGATTCTGTCGATCTCGGCAACCTCTGTGCCTTGCAGGCTGGCTTAATGTTTATTTGATGGCAAGGCTCCTTTTCTACCCTGTTTCCTCTAAAATAAGACAGTGTCTTATATTAACTTTTCTCCCAAAGTTTAGCTAGGTCTTATTTTCAGGGGATGTCTTATCTTTCTATGCGCTAGGTCTTATTTTCGGAGGATGTCTTATTTTTGGGGAAACACGGTACGTCTGTGCAGAGCATTGCTGGATTGGCAGGAGATTCTATTTTTAGTAACTTCCCAGATGTTATCAGGCACATGAACCACTCTTCTCCTCCAAGTCTCCCATCTCATATCCCCCACACTCACAGCAAAAATTCTTAACAAAAATGTAGCAAATTGAGTCCAATGATACGGAAAACTATAATACATGGTGACTGAGCGGGATTTATCTCAGCAATGCAAGGGTGGTTTTAAAATTCAAAACTCAATCAATGTCATTTTCTGTATCAACAGATGACAAATGAAAATCAAGTGCTCGAGATGCAGAGAAAGCATTCAACAAAGTCCAACATCCATTTACGATAACTCTAAGCAAACTAAACATGAAAGGGCAATTCATCAACCAGATCAAGGCATATACAAAAACCTTAGCGAATATCATACTTAATGGTGACAAACTCAATGCCTTCCTCTAAATCAATAAAAGAAATGACTACCCGCAGTCACAAGTTCTAGTCAACATAATACTAGGGGTTCTAGCCAATGCAACAAGACAAGAAAAACAATTAAAATCATACAGATTAGAAATAAAAATAACCTTGACATCATCATCTATCCCAAGGAATGTTTTTTTAAAAGCTGCTAGAACAAATAACTGAGTTCAGTAAGGTTGCAGGACACAAAGATGCATTTTCAGGATTTTCCACAGGAAAAAAAAAAAAAAACAGAACCAATAGGGATTGTGTGTGTGTGTGTGTGTGTGTGTGTGTGTACATACGTATGTGTTTATTATAAAGACTCACATGATTATAAAAACTGACAAGTCCCAAGATATGCAGGTGAGTCATTAAGATGGAGCCCAGGATGGGCTGATGATATAGCTCCAGTGTGAGTTCAAACATCTGAGAACCAACAGAATCAATGATGTGCTCCAGTCCAGAGGCAGCAGACATGAGACCCAAGATGTTTCCATTGGAATTCAAAGGCAAGAAGAATTCTCTCTTCTTCAAGAGGGGGTCAGCATTTTTGTTCTATTCAGACCTTCAACTGATTGGATAAGGCCCACCCACATTAAGGAGAGCTATCTGCTTTACTTAGTCTAATGATTTCAATATTAAACTCATCCAAAAACATCCTCACACAAATACCCAAAATAATGCTCGACCAAATAATCTGGGCACCTGAATAAATGGAAAGATATAAAATGTTCATGGATCTGAAAACTCAACCTTGTTAAAGTGTCATTTCACTGGAAACTGATCTAATTGATTTATAGATCCAGGACAATCCCAGCAAGCTTTCTTGTAGAAATGAACAAGTTGATTCTAAAATTCATATGGAAATACAAAGGTCCTAGAATAGCCAGAACAACTTTGCAAAAAGAGAACAAAGTGGAAGAACTTATACCATCTAGTTTATGATCTTATAAAGCTACAGTAAGTGAGACAAGATGTATTGGAATCAACATAAACATAGGCAAATAGAACAGGCTGTAGGATCAAGAAATAGACTCATACATATCTGTATGACTGATTTTTGACAAAAGTGTCAAGTCAATTCAATGGGGAAAAGATAATTTTTTTTTTTCATCCAAAATTTTTTTTCTTAGAGAGAGGGGAAGAGAGAGAGAGGAATATCGATGTGAGAAAGATTGACTCCTGTATGCACCCTGATCAGGGATCGAATCCGCAACCTGGGTATGTGCCCTGGCAGGGAATCTAGCCTGAGGTCTTTTGGTATACGGGATGACACTCCAACCAACTGAGCCACACTGGCCAGGGCAAGGTCATCTTTCTAAATACCGTTGCTGGAAGAAGTGGCTACCTAATGTAAACCTCATACTATATACAAAAACGAGCTCGTAATTGAAACTAAATGTAAAATCTAAAACCATAAAACTTCTGGAAGAACACATTGGAGTGAATCTTTTTGATACTGAGTTTGGCAAAGATTTCTTAAATAGGACACAAAAAGCATGAAATATGTATTATTTTAAAAGTCAATTAACCAAACTTCATCAAATTAAATTATATTGCTCTTCAAAAACACTAAGTTTTGAACATGGAAAAGCTGCCGAAACTGGTTTGGCTCAGTGGATAGAGCGTCGTCCTGCGGACTGAAAGGTCCCAGGTTCGATTCTGGTCAAGAGCATGTGTCTTGGTTTCGGGCACATCCCCAGGAGGGGGTGTGCAAGAGGCAGCTGATCGATGACTCTCTCTCATCGATGTTTCTAGCTCTCTCTCTCTCTCTCCCTTCCTCTCTGTACAAAATCAATAAAATATATTTTTTAAAAAATAAAGAAAAGCTCAGTCATGGAAACATGAATGTTAAAAAAAAAAAAAAAAAAAAAAAAAAAAAAAAAACCAAAAAACTGAAAATGGAAAAGCCATAAACTGGGAGACCATGTTTGCAAAACATAGACCCAGAAGAGAACTTGTATCCAGATTATACCATGAGCTCTCACAACACAATGACATACAATCCAATGTTCTTTAAGTGGGCAAAGAATCTAACAGAAGCAGCCCTGGGTCCTGGCCTCCCTGCCACACTCTCCTCCCTGTGCTGGGCGGGTGGAAAAGCGGTGCTCAGATGGCCACCCAGGCGCGCCCTACCCAACTGCCGCCACTGCACCAAGTACCCACCGCATGCTCTCCTCACCGTACCATTGAGGTAGTAGCTCCTCCTGGTCCTGTCTCCCGAGGGCAGACTGCTCTCTGAGAAGCACACCTTCTTGGTTCGGGTCATCTCCCTGGGCTCCAGCGGGTCCTGCAAGGGGTTCAGGAGCGGGCACAGCTTCCTGTCGGTGCTGCGAGACGCGTGCAGCTCCTGGGGGCTGAGGAAAGCCTTGAAGGACACCTGGGGGGACGTCGCACAGCCAGGGGAAGTGTCGTCTTCGTGGGAGAGGGGTGTGTGTGAGCACAGCAGGTCCTCCAGCGAGGATGTCGGCAGCTGGGAGGGCACCTCAGGGATGCCGGTGAACCTTCCAATATCTGGAACTGGGACAGGGAGGAAAGGGAGGAGAGGTCAGGCTGGTGTTCCTAAAACATCCCCCAAAGGGTAAAGGACACTTTAAGGACGTTCATACACCCCACCCCAAGCCCTGACTGACACCTGCTCACATCCCTCCCCATTCCCCTCTGGAGAAGGTGAAAGATGTGGGTGCAGCAACTGTGGGCCCCGCCCCTGCCCAAGGAAGCCACCAGCCTTGGGTTTATGGGCCCAGCAAGCATGTGTGCCCCGGGAGCTTCTACCCACCATGCATCCACACCCAATACAGCAACCTTTATATGCTTTTTCGGTTTTATGTAAATGGTATCAACCTATGCCCGTTTTATTCTGCAGAAAACCTTTTTGATACAGAACATCTTTGTTGAGATTTGTTCATGTTGAGTTACTTGGTAGCTAACTGGTTTATTTAATCATTTCCTAGCACACACAACAGGTACAGTGATTTTTGTTTTTTATATATCAGAGAGGAAGGGAGAGGGAGAGATAGAAACATCAATGATGAGAATCATTGATTGGCTGCCTTCTGCACACCTCCTACTGGGGATGGAGCTCGCAACCCGGGCATGTGCCCTTGAGCGGAATCAGACCCGGGACCCTTCAGTTTTCAGGCTGATGCTCTATCCACTGAGCCAAACCGTCTAGAACTAGCTAACTTTGTTTTCTACGACAGCAGTGTGATCCTGTATTCACAGCAGCTTCTGATCACTCCGTGGTATGTACGGACCAAGCTGATGACACGTGACTTTTCCCTAACCCTTGGTGATATCGAACATCTTTTTAAAAAATAAATAAATAAATAAATAAAAACTGTTGTCGTTTTTTTCAAATATATTTTATTTCAAATATATTTTATCTCCAGAGAAGAAGGGAGAGGGATAGAGAGTTAGAAACATTGATCAGCTGCATCCTGCACCCCTCCACCTGGGATGTGCCCGCAACCAAGGTACATGCCCTTGACCGGAATCGAACCTGGGACCCTTCAATCCACAGGCCGACGCTCTATCCCTGAGCCAAACCAGTTAGGGATGATGTTGAACATCTTGTGTGTCCATAGGTCACTCAGGTTTCCATTCTGTGAAATATCTATGCCTCTTCTTTGCTCGTTTTTTTGTTTGTTTGTTTATTAAATTATTTGTAGCAGTTCCTTTGGTACTTTGCATCATAATGTCTTGTTGATAATGTCTTCTCTCAATGGGTGCCTTGCTGATATTTTAACTCTGGTGTTTGTTTGTTTTTATTGATTAAGGTATTACATGTGTGTCCTTATCTCCCCCCTCCCCTTTAACTCTTTTTATGGTGACTCCTGTCATGCAAATTTTGTTTTAATTTTAACATGTCAAGTTTAACCTATCCATTCCTCTGTCGTCTATAAAATCCTTTTCCACCCTTATGTCCTGACTTTTTCTCCTAGTAATAAAGCAAATATGTATATTTGAAAAAAAATAATTTTTAAGAGCTATATTACAAAATTAAATCCTAAAATGTGCCTACTACTCTATCCCCAGCGGTGCTTTCCTCAAAAAACATTTCTACAGAAGGAAAGTAATCAGTCTGAGGCCTGCCTCCTGCCTGCCCCTCCAGCCAGCACAGCCAGTCCCCGCGGCAGCTCAGGGCCTCACAGTCTCCCGCCCAGCCCACTGCAGGGCCCAGAACCTGTCAATGACCATCTTCCAAGAATTCACACAGCATGAGTCATCAAAAACCGCTCAGTCCTGGGTTCTTCCCCAGAGGAGTGGAGCCCAGTGCTTGGAAAGGGGGTTCTGTCCCACTCACCTCACAGACCTGGGGAAGAGCGCCACCTAGTGCCGGCTTTAAAGGGGTTTTTGTCGTCAGCTGGCTCTGGGCTTTGTTTTAGCTTCGGTTTAGTGAATTGTAACTCCTATTATTCCCAAGGCTTCAATGAAGTTGTATGAAACACTTTAAAAATTTGTAATCATCAGTCAAATCCAAAATATAGGTATAATTTTAAGCCACATTATAATAAACTATAAACAAGTAACAAGAGTGAACAGAAAACTCTTGTCTTTTCGGGATTAAAAGGATTCTCCTGAGTAATGACCATATCAAAAATAAAAATAGGAAAATGTAATTATTGAAAACAAATGGAAATCAGAACATTAGAGTGTCACATTAGCATGAAATTATTTATCATGAAATTAGTAACGTAAGTTCTTTGCTTTTTAAAAATCACCCAAAAAAGCTAAACACTCAAATCAAAATATGGGAAGAACTCTTCAGGAAAGCAAAACTTCAAAAACTACAAAAATGACAGCAGAAATACCCTGGAAACAGTTCTATGGAAAGTCCAATAAGGTAACAAAACGGTGGAAAGCTACTTTAGAGACACAGAAAACATACAGGGATAAAATTGAAAGTGAGAAAGGCGATTTAAGAATGACCTGTAAGGAAATGCTTGAATTAGAAAGAATTATATACAACTGTATATTAACTGGAAGTCTTGATAAAAGGAGAGATCTTCAGGGAAATTATTTTTAAATGACTCAATAAGAGGTAGAAAACCCAAAGGGACCAATAAAGAAAGAAGAAAAATCTGGAAGCTGTAAAATAATTATGCTCTAACGGGCTGCAGGGCTGGGCGGTTGGCGGGTGAATTCTTACAAATTCCCAGACAATGCATAATCCCTACACCATATAAGCGGGGTTGGAACACTGAAAAATTGAAAAATGGTTGACTGAGTTTCTAGTTTGTCACGACTCTGCTATGAAATCCCTGCAGAGAACCCACAGGAAGGAAACACAGCCCAGACTTGTGGGGGAACAGAGCCTGAGACCCTGAGCTGAGCCCCATCCAGACCCAGCAAAGCCCAGGACCTTGGGTCTCCCAGGGGAGCAGAACAGTGACACCCCCCGGACAGGCCGAGGGAAGCCACTGAGGGCACCTCCCCCGATGCCAAGACAAGGTCATCAAGATTGAACCAGATGAGCCATTTCTCACGTTTTTGTTTTTTAGAAGTAAGGACTGGGAAGGACTCTTCCCTACCACCCAGCCTGCGTGTCCGCCACCTGTGGGCAGACAAGGCATCACTGCCCACCGCCTGCCAGGAGGACAGGGGACAGGCTGCTGGAGCCAAAGTTCTGAGAGTTTGAGAAACAAAGACAAAAACAAGTGTGCATGCTGCCAATCTCGTTTAAAGGGTCACTTGTAAATAGTGTAGTCGTAGACGTAGAAAACAGGGGAATGAGTTGAAAAACAGTGGAATAAAAACAACTTATGAAGAGGCTGGATGTAGATTGGGTGTTTACCTATCAACGGCTTTCCAAAATACATCAATTCTGATGACTCCAAAAATACAATGGTGCTGGGGGGAGGGGGGAGGGGGGAGGAATTCGTAATTGTAAGAAAGAACATGAAGCAATCCCGGAATAAACTTACTGATAAATGTGAAAATTTTTATATGTGAAAAACAGGTGAAGAGACTTGGAAAAACTGTGCACCAGCAAGCTTACTGGGTGAAGTCATCCTTGGAGTATATGGAAGAATAAATAAAGATCAAAATGTGAGAGAGAAAAAAAATAATGTGAAGAATAATTACCCCTGCCTCTGAGCTGATAACTCTACTTTAGCAAAACGTACCCGAAGGAAATAACCCTAAATATAAGAGTCGTTTTGCTGTGTTATTTATTGCAGGATAAGAAAGAAGTATAATTTCAAACGTGAGGAAAAGAGTTCATTAAATTGTGTTCATGTGATTTTTTTAATATCACGGTCAGTCATTTAAAAATATAGCAGCACAGCCAAAACCGGTTTGGCTCAATGGATAGAGCGTTGGCTTAGGGACTGAAAGGTCCCGGGTTCGATTCCGGTCAAGGGCATGTACCTTGGTTGGGGGCATATCCCCAGTAGGGGGTGTGCAAGAGGCAGTTGATCGATGATGACTCTCTCTCATCAATGTTTCTAACTATCTCTCTCCCTTCCTCTCTGTACAAAATCAATAAAATATATATTTTCAAAAAAATATATATATATATATAGCAGCACAAAAATAACCATGTCGCCGAAACCGGTTTGGCTCAGTGGATAGAGTGTCGGCCTATGGACTGAAAGGTCCCCAGGTTCGATTCCGGTCAAGGGCATGTACCTTGGTTGCAGGCACCAGTAGGGGGTGTGCAAGAGGCAGCTGATGGATGATTCTCTCTCATCGATATTTCTAGCTCTCTATCCCTCTTCCTTCCTCTCTGTAAAAAATCAATAAAATATTTTTTAAAAAAGAAAGAACCATGCCATGATGTTAAAGGGAAAGAGGCAGATGACTGTACGTAGAGAATACTAAAAATCTACTAAAAATCATCTCCACCCAGAACAATGAGGATTGCGTGAACACCCCTGAGAACCGAGGTGGGAGGCCCAGGGTGGGGCCGAGGGGACCTGCCACCCCTCTGGACCCTTTGAAACGGTGCATTGCGCTTGAAAACCCAAGTGAAGGGAACAGCCCCACAGGAGGCTGGCTGGGAACCGTGCACACGCCTCCCCGGGTGCAGGCGTGGCTACTTCCCGGGCTGGGCGATGGGAAGGCAGGGAAGGCGGCACCTGCTCCTCCAGCGGCAGGTGCATGGGCCGCAGCCTTCTGGGGAGCATTCATCCGTGTCTATTGCCACATTTCCACCCCTCATAGCCTCTGACCCCCGGATTTCCCGGCGGTCACCCCTAAGCTGGCCGCTGGGGCCCATGTCAGGCGGCCCGTGGTCACGGGGCACTGGGAGGGCGCTGCCTCTCGTGGGGTCGGACTGATGGCCATGTGAACCCCACACGGGACAGTCTGCTCTCCGAGAGGGATGCAGGCAGCAGAGCCAGGAGGTCCTGCGATCACACCCACCCCGCTGTAAGCCTCTGTGGCAGCGCTGTGTGCTTGTCGCTGATAGACATCCCAGCTCAAGCGGCGAAGCCACCGCACCCCGTTTTCCGGGTGTGGACTTACAGGCTCATCTGAGGACACCCAGCAGCATGGGCATCCGAACCTGAGAAGGAGGAGGGGCCGGGACCACCTGCAGGAGCAGCCCCCGCTCCCAGGCCCCCCGGGCTCACCTGCAGCCGTGGGGGAGCAGGCCTCCGGGAAGGCGGGCGCCTTGGGGAAGAGGAGGTCCCGGCTGCCGCGGCTGCCGCTCTCCTGGCAGCTCTCGCTCAGCAGACGCTTGAGCATCTGGTTCTCCTTGAGCAGCCGCACCTGCTTCTTGAGGTCGGCGTTCTCGCTCATGAGCCTGCTCATCAGCTCGTTCCCCTCGGCCATGACCAGGACGCCTCGCTCACGGGTGGGCCTGTGGCCCCATGGAGATGGAAATGCAGAGCCACGGCGCCGCAGAAACAGCCCGACCAGGGTTCCACGAGGGCCCCACCTTCCGCAGCCTTGTGATGTCGCCTTAAAGAGGCGGCGCCCTGCCCACGGCCCCCCGCAGGCTTCCTGGGGGGGCCCGGACCGGGGCACGCGGCAGGCACCTCACACCGGGGAGGGACGAGGGAAGTGGGGCCGGGCAGAGCCTAGGTGGGGGGCCTGGGATGCTCATGGGGAGGCCAGCCCCGCCAAGGAACACACAGGACCAGGCCTGACACAGGATGGTTCTGGCGCCTTCTAGGAACAGCCAGGATATTGGGCTGAGGGGGTATCCCATTCACACCTTGGGAGTCTGCAGGCCCAGGGGGGACTCCGCCTTCACTCTGAGTGACTGTGCAGCCGCCCTCACCATCCCCTCACCCTGAACCTCGGACGAGGCGACTTCCCAACCCCAGGCCCAGCCGGGCTCTGGTCAGCCCAAACCTGGGCAGGTGTCTGGTGCCCTGGGCCACACACTGAGGGAGGAAGGGGCAATGAGGACAGAGGGAGCCCAGCTTGGAGCCACGAAGGCCGCAGCCCCAGAAGCTCCAGCGGCTTCCACGGGCTGGCAGTTGGAGGCCTCCTGCTGGCCACCTGCCCTGGTGGGAAGGGCCCGGGCGGCACAGCCCTGTCCTGCACAGACAGTGCGGAGTGTCTGACTCTGACCGTTACTGGCCCTAACTGAAGACCCCCCTCCAGAGCACAGGGGCCATCTGGACCAATCACAGGCAGGCCTGTGGCTCACGGAGTCCTGCCTGAGCCAGATTCCAGCCACACACAGTCTGGGCAGCCCAGCCCGCCCAGCAGGACCCCACCGAGATGCTCTCCCCGCACCTGCTCAGTAACTAAGCGCTGTGCTGTTTCCTGGCTCCAACTGTCTTGGTCCTGCTTTTCCAAAGCTACAAGACAATGGGGATCGGTCGCCTCCTGACCCTCCAGGAAAGGGGTATAGCCAAGCTGACCAGACGTCCCGCTTTTGGCGGGACAGTCCCGATTTTTAACAATTTGCCCCGCGTCCCGCGGTGTTGTAAAGAATCTTTCCAAAAATCGGGACTTTTTTAAAAAAAACTCCGTGGGATGCGGGACAAATTGTTAAAAATCGGGACTGACACGCCAAAAGTGGGACGTCTGGTCACCTTAGGCATAGCCCAAAAAGGGAACCAGTGTGTCTTCCATCCCTTTTGCCCCAATGTTGCATCCCTGGCTCAGCATAAAGGCACTGGGTGCAAGTGACAAGAGGGCTGTCTCCAGGCAGAACAAAGCCCTTGTTCCCCAGACTGCCCAAGGCCCACTATGTCACTTCAGGAAATGCAAGCCCGAGTCAGGCGTGGTCGGAAGGGCTTCTATATCCCAAACGCCCCTACGCTTCCCCAGATGGACCAGTGTGTGGGCCCACCGGCCCTCCCGTTAGAGAGAACTCTCCCCAGAGGAAGGGTGTGGGCGCTTTTGGGACCCACAGCAGATGCCCCCTTCACCGGCCCCTCCCATCACATTCAAATCCCATGTCTCCACCCCAAGAAACCTTGTGTGCTGGTCCTGAGCCACTATCTTTTTGTTGTTGTTCCTCCTCACCCGAGGACATTTTTCCATGGATTTTTAGAGCGTGGGAGAGAGAGGGAGAGACAGAAACACGGATGTGACAGAGACACATGGATGGGGTGCCTCCCCCTTGCTCCTCCACCATGGGCCTGGATTGAGCCTGCAACCAAGGTACGTGCCCTTGACCAGAATCAAACCTGAGACCCTTCCGTCCGAAGGCCCATGCTCCAACCACAGAGTCAAACCAACTAGGGCTCTTAAACATTTTTATTGCCTCCATTAAATTGATGTAGCAACAATGACTATGTTATCAAGGAAAAGTAGTCTTTCAGAGGTAAGTTTCCACTGCGAGTTAACATTTTCCCAAAGAAAGGGGGTAAAGTTCACATCGTGTTGAACGCAGAAAAGCTAGTATGACTCCAGAGACAATTTCCCAGCATCATACTCAAAATCTGGTCACTGGAAAGAAGATCATTTGAATTCAGGACTCCACTGATTTACCCAGGTCAGAGACCTGGATTTTTAATCAGGTTGAGGCAAATATTTTCCTCTGAAATAACTGGAGATGCACCTGCTTATCTTCAGGCAGCTGCTCTTGTTCCCTGAAACGAAAGCTGGTGAGCCCGGATGGTCCGGGACAGGGCCCAGGGCCGCAAGAGCAGCAGGAGGAAGGCCACATGTGCAAAGCCACGTCCCGGACAGATGCTGGGCAGGCAGTGGCCAGGGCAGCGGGGCTTCCAGACATTGCCTGCTGTCTGGAAGGACAAGTGGCCGGGGGAGTCGTGTGGGGCTGCCACCCGTCCAGGAGGCGGCAAGAGAAACGGCAGGTGGAGGTGGTGTTGGGGTGGGGCCTCGGGGGACACCAGGCCTGAGTTTCATTCTCATCAGAGCTCTTGGTGACTCCTCACAGGTACACGCCCGTGGAGGCTGTGAGTATGGGAGCTGCTCACCCTCATAAGTCAAAGGCAAACCTAGGTCTCAGATTTTCCATTCTGAGCCCCGAGTCCATGCACACGGAACCAGGAAGCTTTAGACCAGCCAGAGGGGAACTGAGAGGTTTACCACCCAAGAAGCATCACCCGGAAATCTGGCTCCCACTTCAGCTCAGAGAAAATGAGGGTGTGAGGGTCCCAGCAGCCACTCAAGTGCCCCAGGCATCACACCTGCCTGGCCAGTTTCCGGGGGCAGTGACTGGCAGGCTGGGTGCTCACTGTTTCTGGCACACAGCGATGTCCCTCGGTGGCAACCACAAGACACTAACAACCCCTATTCTTTGTCATGCTTGTCCATACCCACCGAGCGCTGGATGGCCATGGTAAAGAGGCAGACCTAGCCTCGCTGTCCCTGGCTGTCACCTCCCCGTCCAACAGACAGGAGGAGCCACCCTGGGGGAGAGCCCAACCCCGGACAGGAGGCAGATAAGGCACAACTGCTGAGAACTATAATTGGTCAAGAAAGCCTTCCCAGCCATGCCCCTGGGCAGGCCTGGTCCCTGGACCCCCTCCAGAAATGGGGAGTGAGGCAGTGAGGGGCAGGGCTCCAGGGGCACCCATGTCCCGGCAAGATGCTCCAGTCTTACTCAGCACCCCCACAGGACGCCTGTGCCCGCCACCCACCGGCCAGGCACCCGTAGGCCCCCTCTCAGGGGTGGCCAGCGAGGGCACTTTCTGGGTACAGGCGGGAGAAGCGGCCGAGGGCCCAGATGGGGAAGACGTTCCTGTAGCTCGTGTAGCTGATGGCGCAGGACTTGTTGAAGACCCCGGCAATGTTTTCCTGAAAGGACACAGGGACTTAAACTCAGAGGCTCCGTCATGTAGGCAAGGGGTTCCCTGACCCGAGAGCCCCGGTGGAGAGCTGGGCAGCTTGTGGGGCGAGTCAGCGAGCAGCGCCCCAGCGGCAGCCCTCCCCCCACATCCCAGCTCTCGGACCCTAACACAGCAGCCTCCTGCCTGGTCACCAGCCCTGACCCCAGACTCATCCAGGAAGGGGTTAACCTCACAGGACCTTGGGACCCCATGCCCACAAGTGTCGGCAGCAAGGGGCCCATCAGGCAGAGCCCAGGGCTTCCTCCGTCCAACGCCTCCCGGCCCCGCCCCTCACCCCAGTGCTTAGATCTGCTTCCAGCACAGGCCACTCATGAGTGATGGCTCTGAATCAAATCCCCGAAGCTAAGCCCCGCCCCTGAGCACCCCGTGGGAGACACAGGGCCAGGAGGGGATGGGAAACCGGGGTGTCATCTGCACACCTGGGGCCAATCACCATTGGGGAGCTGTTTTCTGAGCAGACACTTGACTCCTCTCTCCTGGGCCTCTACATCAGGGTGCCTGTGGAAGAAGAGGCAGTGAACACACCCTCACCCTCTGTGGATGAGACGGCCACTGGCTGCAGCCAAAACCTGGCCCTCACCCTCCACAGCCCAGCGCCGGGCAAAGACGTGAAAACCTGAGCCGCCGTGCACGAGGTATCGGCACCACGAGGGACAACCAGTGCACAGCTCGGGCCCTCGCTGCAAGCTCACCCCGAGAAGCAGAGGATGCAGTGAGCGTGGGGGCGCGCAGGCCAGGTGGGCAGCGCCTGAACATGGGCAATGAGGAGCCCCGCCTGCTCCAGACCTGCTGCTCTGGCCCTGCCATGAGGCGCTGCTCTTCTGCACCCCCAGGAGAGGAGGAGGCCACGCCTGGTGCCGCCCTGCCCACCGGGGCTCAGGCCGCCTGAGAGCCACAGAAGCCACAGGTGCTAACCCTCGCTCAGCATCAAACTCAGCTGTGGGAGGCAGACTGGGGGCCGGTCCCTGACCCTGTCCCCTGCCCAACACGAACCTGGTCTAGATGGTACGGGGTTTTAGGAAGATTCCCCAAAATGGCCCCGAACCAACAGGGCAGCACAGACTGGGATACTGTGCACGCCCATGTGTGCATACAGGGGCATGTTACGTGTGCATGGGTGTGTGCACCCATGTTTGCATGTCTGAACATGTACGCCTCTGTGTGTACACCTGCCTGTGCACACACATGGCTGAGCTCCACTGTGGAAGCAGGGAGGACCATGGAGCGCCGCTGTGGGTAGTGAGCCTCTCTGCAGGAACCCGCTGGCTCGCACAGACCTACAACTGTAGGCAAGGAGCCCTCCTCCCGTTCCTGCAGGCAGAGCTCTGCCGCCCACATCCCACCCAGGTCGCCGAGGTCAGTGTCCTTCCTCTGCCTGCCCCCACCTGACGGCCATCAGCCCCATCAGGGCCCAGCACGTGTTGTGGATCTGGGACTGGGCGCTCTGCACGTAACGCCGCTGCTCACAGGACTCGAAGTCCTCCCCCCAGCCTCCGTCCGCCATCTGCTGGGACAGCAGGAAGTCGCAGGCCTGGGCGACCTCTGCACAGGCAGTCCTGCGGAGACACCAAACACGAGACACCGTCACACAGTGGAGGTTCCAGGCCCCTGGGTTCTCACTCTGGCCGGGCCTCCTTAGGGCTGTGGGAAGGGGGGGGCCGCACTTGAGGTCACCCCACCATGGATAAAGGGAAAAGCTTTGTAGCTGCGGGCAACCTCATTGCCATGATCACCCCACGAACACCCACCCAGCTAAGCAGAACTGGGTGAGGCCACTGGACACAGCTCGGACTGAGGCCTCTGCCCTCCCCTCAACACAACCCAGAGAGTATCCTGGCCTGTACCCACTCCCACTGTTTAAAAAAATGTAAAAAACACCCCCGACATCAAAGGAAGATACTCCCCAGCAAAGCCTCACACTGAGAAGCCCCCTTCCCACCAGGGGGCAAATGCCCGCACTCACCCATCGCGGTAAATGTGCCCCATGCAGGCGAAAGCTTCCAGCCCGAACCAGGTGCCGTAGGTAAAGCAAACGCCCCAGGAGCTGGAGGGAGACACGGGAACGGAGGGTCAGGTGCCCAAGCCTCCCTCGGCGGATGTGAGAGGACGGGCACGTCCAGCATGGGGAGGCTGTGGTTATTTCCGAGAGAAACATCGACGTGGCCTTCACAAGCCACACCAGCTGCAGAGCTTTGGGAGGCAAACCTGCCTCCAGCCCTCGGGGGACAGCTCGTCCACTGGAACCACAAGCAAGGAAAGAAGTGATCCAATCCCAGAGGGGAGGTCGTGAATAATCAGACCCAACAAATAAGGCCCAGGCCACCGAGCATGCCCCACACACTGGCCAAACACGGCGGGGGGAAGGCCCAGCATCCACAAGGGACAAGGTCCACCAGGAATCTGTCGCCGGCAGCCTCCTCCTGCCAGGACCTCTGGCGTAGCACATGCGCACAGTGAGCGCCGCCGTGTCCGGGGCCCACACGTCTCACTCACCCTTCCCAGGAGCCATCAGCCCTCTGCGTCTTACGACAGAACTCCAGACCCTGCTCGAGGGTCTCCCTGCAACACAAGAGGACGGTCCAGTGAACATTCCAGCAAAACAGCCATTTGCTCAGTTCTACCCATTCTATGGTCTCAAAAAAAAAAAAGCATGGTGTCCCTTTCTAAAATAGTAAAAATACACCATTTGCCCACCATCCAGAACTGAAATATCATTGCTGACATGTACACATAAGGAACTGTTTGACATTGAAATTGGGTCTCAAAAGAACTGGTGGCTCAGAAAGCTCACTACAGACTGATGCACATGCCTTTCAGCAGAACGATTTTCGCTTGCCTCATTTTTTATTCTTATAAGTGCATTTCCAGTAGGACATGATCTCACTCATCTAGGGGAAATGGTGAACAACATAGACTGATGAACAAGCACAGACCCAGAGATAAGGAGCCATGGGTCAGACTGTTGGACCTCAGAGGGAGGGTGGGGATAAAAGGGAGCAATCAACCAAAGGACTTATGTGCACACATATGAGCCTAACCAGTGGTCAAGGACAACAGGGGGGGATTGGAATGGGGAGTTGAGGACAAATGTGTGATACCTTAATCAACAAAGAAATTAATTTTAAAAAATAGTAAAAATAAACCAACAGCTCAGAAAGGAGATACCAGGTTAAAGGAGAAGCAACTATAGGACACAGAAGGGAGTTAAAGAAATGCAAGACACAAGCAAGGGAGGAACCAACATTAGAAGTGGCTGCTACAGCATCAGTATCCCTGAAAACAATGTCAGTGACACGGGCGTGAGTAAATCACACAAGATGAAATTTTAAAGAGAAATTTTAAATTTGGGAAGGGAGAAAACAAAAGATTTAGAGGACAGAGAAGCTCCATCGCAAGCCTAACTGGTACTTCTGATAAAGAAACCAGTTCTCTGGAAAGGCCAGAGAGGAGGTGCAAGCACAGACTGAGGTGCTGTGACCCTTGCCTTCGGGGCTCACCCGTGTCATCCGACAGCTCCTGCAGAGCTGATGGGACATCACTCCTCTGACCGCACCGTGTGACATGCCGACCTTCCTCTTGCCAGCAGAGTCCCTCTCTCTCGATTCTCTCCCCCTGCTGGTGGCCTCCAGCCAACAGTCAGCAAGCAAACAGGCCGTGAGGCTGACACTGCATAGGGAATGGACACCTGCCAACAACCACATGAGCTCAGAGATCTTCCTCAGTCAGTGCTCAGAAAAGACAGCGGACAGGCGGTGACAGGGCCCAGCTAAGCCTGAATTCCTAATCCAGGACCTGGAAGGTGATCCCCGAACATTGTGTTAAGCCAATTTTGTAGTACTACTGTTACTCAGTAATAGAAAACAAATACAGAGGTGAAGGCACAGATAAATGATGTCAGTGATAAAAAGAGTAGTATGACTACAGGTATAATGGAAATCAAAGTTAAGATAAAATGAGAAAAGTTGAGACAACACATTTGAAATTTAAACAAAATATACACATGACCAGGAAAATTAACTTATCAAAATGGCCTCAAGAAGAAATAGAGATCCTGGATAGTCTTATAACTACTAAAGACATGAGTCAAAAATGTAAACTTTCCCCAGAAAAAGAACTCCAGGCCTAGAAATTTTATAAGTGAATTCTACTAAATTATCACAAACAAGCATTCTAATCTCACACAAACTCTTCTATGGACTAGGAAGAGGAGAAACACTCCCTAATTCATTGTAAGGACCCAGCTTTCGCTTTTCACAGCCAGAGAGGGAAGGTGAAGCACGTGCCCACAGATGTGGATGCAAGATTCTAACTAAATATTGGGAATTGAACGTGGTAGAGATATACTAAGTCAGGTTCATTCCAGAAATGCAAAGGTGTTTTAACATTAGAAAAGTCTACAAGAGTCATCCAGGACATTAGGAGATAAATAAATAATCATCTCATAGACATTGAAAAATCACTTGTTAAACACAATACATGGCTCACAATGGAGGGAAAGAAACAACAAATTAGAAAAAAGAACTTTGTTACCCAGAAAAGGGGTTAACTACCAAATACCTACAACAAATATTCTTAATGGAGAAATAGTAGAAGCAGTCCCCTTTAAAAAATCAGGAAATACAACAAGGATGCCACTATCACTGCTTTCCGCAAAGAAAACTCCAGGTCCAGATGGAGTTTCCAAACATGTCGGGACAAAATAGCAGAAAGCTCACAAATTCTTCCCAAGAACATAAAAAGAAAATATGCTATCCAGGAGACCCTGACAGAGACATGATATAATAAGGAAAATTACAGACCAGTTTCTCTTACAACCACAGTTGTAAAAATCCTAACGAAACACCTCAAATTTAACCCAACATGTAGAAAGGAAAGCTTAGGACCAAGCTGAGCTTCCACCAGATTCACCATGAACACAGGACAGGGAATCGTTCCCCTCAGGAACCAGCAGCATATGCCTGTGACACAGCACGTCGCTCCTGAACATCCCCTGTGCCCAAAGACAAGCACACGCATTCACAGCAGGATGACTCATGACAAGCACGAATGGCCCCCATGGGCCCGTGACAAACATGTGTGGCACTTGCACTCAGCAGGCGTGCCAATGGCCAAGAACAGTGTGAACGGCAGCTCCGAGGGCCTCATCCCGGAGCAGAAAGCCGAGTGAAGGAAGCCAGGCCCGGGAGTCCCCAATGTGGGTCCTCAGATGCAGGAACCCAGCAGCCACAGAACCAGGAGGGGAGGGAGCTGCTGGCAATGTGTGTGCCTCATGCGGCCACATCTTCTGTCCACTTCACGACAGTTCCTGACACCACACTGGGGGTCTGCATGCTACTCTACCCTTATCAGACTTCAACAAGAAGGTTTAAAAAATTACATGTCGGGCCAAAGCCGGTTTGGCTCAGTGGTGGAGCGTCGATCTGCGGACTGAAAGGTCCCAGGTTCGATTCCGGTCAAGGACATGTATATTGGTTGCGGGCACGTCCCCGGTGAAGGAGGGTGCAGAAGGCAGCTGGTCGATGTTTCTCTCTCATAGACGTTTCTAGCTCTGTATCTCTCTCCTTTCCTCTCTGTAAAAAATCAATAAAATATATATATATATTTTAAATTACATGTCGGCCCAGCCGATATTGCTCAGCGGTTGAGCGTCGGCCTATGAACCAGGACGTCACGGTTCAATTCCTGGTCAGGGCACATGCCTAGGTTATGGGCTCAATTCCCCAGTGTCGGGCATGCAGGAGGCAGCCAATAGATGACTGTCTCTCATCATTGATGATTCTACTTCTCTTTTCCTCTCCCTTCCTGGGTGAAATCAATAAAAATATATATTTTTGAATAATATAAAAATAGAACTACATGTGGACACGGTGGAGCTGGGGGTATGGAACCTTAACATTATTAAGATGTGAAAATAACCCGCTCCTGTGTTATAACTGTGCTCCTTAGAGCCCCCGGTACATGTATCGGATATTTTCAGGGCACACGACCAGGTGTAAACCCCTCTCGTATCTAAGTGAGCTTCACTCCAGGGCCCCTTTATATGATGGGCCTCATTAAGAGGACAACAGCCCTCAATGTCATGTTGGCAGCGCCTGAGCTCTTGACCAGCTGGTGGCACCTGTGGCTGAGTGGCGCGGCTCTTACCTGACTTCCCGTGGCCTGTGCTCTGGAAACTGCTTGTGGAAATGTTTCAGCGCCTGCATCACGGCCGAGGTGCACTCCACATACAAGTAGTCAATCATGATGTCCCCTGTGAAAGTGAAGGATCCAGGCCTGTGAGCTTCACCTCAGCAATTCGCAAAGAACATGCACTGTAACGTGCAGGCCTGCAAGGCTCTTTAAGAGCCTGACCATCCCCTGAAGGAAGCGAGGAAGGTGTCACCAGTGACCAGCCCAGGCGACACAGCCACCAGGTGGCAGCTGCACAAGTGACCTGGGACCCAGAAACCTAGAGGCCCATCTGCTGTGGGACAAACAGGCCAGCAGGAGGGTGGAGGAGGGAGCACACAGCAGAGCTGTACCCCATCCTGGGCCATGTTTCAGTTATAGGAGGGATACAGAGGCACGCAAAGGCCCTCACACACGAGAACGATGACACTCAACACGAGCAACAGGGAGAGCGGGTACCCACCAACACCCCCCTCTGCAGGAGCACCAGGAGACAGGAGTCTCCATTGAGGACAGAACGGGAGTCGGCCCAGCTCGGGCCAGAGCCGGCTGTGACTCTGCCACAGAACCACAGCTTTCCGTTTACGGCAGGGGCATCACAGCCAACTGTGGAGATCAGGGAGCGTGGAACACTCCGGGGATTGGGGGTTCCTTAAAGGATCTGCCATCCTCCTCCTTTGTGGGCACCTCCCCTGGCCAGGGGAAAGACCTCAGGACTCTGGTCAGCAAATATGCCTTGGGGCAGGCAGGGCCCGGGTTGTGTCCACACACCCGCAAGCCAGCCACTCACCAAAGACCTCCGAGGGGTTAAGCAGCTCCAGCAGGTACCCCCCACGCTTGGTCTCGTAGGTGGCAAATCCCCCATCGGGATTTCTCATGCTCAGCAGCTAAAACCAGAGACCACACATCATGAGAGCTGAGCGTGCGCGAGTAGCCGAGGCTGGGTGGGTGGGCTAAGCACTCATGGGCAGGGGTGAGCAGCAGAGAGCTAGTTTTCACATCAGACCCAGACTCTCAGGTGCCCTAAGCAGGGGCTGCAATCAGCTACACCATAAGCAACTGTCTGGAACACACCCTGACACGCTTATGCATTTACAAGGTATGTATGTGCTGTGGAACCACATGCCCTTCGCTGTGCGACACGCACTGAAACGGATGTGCTGCACGGCGTGTCCTCTTTTACCAGATACCCAGTGGAGACTGCCAGTCCTCCCGAAGGAACCTTCAGAACTAGAGAGGAAAACAGGGCCGCAGCAGCCACCCCAGACCAGCCCGCCCTGCCCTCAGTGGCTGGGCCCAGGACAAGGCTCATGCACCCACTGGGAAGCGCAGGGCTGTGCCCACACCCAGCCAGCACCCCCTGCTGGCCCAGCTCAGGTGCCATCAGAGGACAAGTCCCTCTGGCTCTCGGTCTTGGCCCTGAGTGTTGGCTGGTACAGCCCCTGTGGGAAGTACCCGTGAGTGCGCAGTCCTCTACAACACTGGTGGGACAAGGGACCCCGGCGTGCACGGCGCCCTCGGTACCGGGGGAGCAGAGCCTCACGCCCAGCAACTCACCACAGCCACAGCATCAAAGAGCCGCTCTCGCGGGATGTGCGTGGTGACAAAAGGACACTTTTCCTGCGTGAGGAGGACAGACTTCAGGGCCTCAGCTGTGCAGTCGGCGACGATCCAACCACAATCCAGCGTGCTGAAGGGGAAGCCGCCCTGGAGAGCAGAGACTGTGACTGGGGGGAGAGGGGGATCACCCAAAGCCACGGCACCCTCCTCACCCCACGGGGAGCCACAGCCCCAGGCCACACGCACGTGCACGGGGGCCTCCAGCTTCTAGCACAAGAACCTGACAGACTAGAGCCTCTCCCCGTCATCGCCCTCACGCCCCACCACACAATGGGCACCAGAAAGGGCCACAGGCACCTCCTGAGCCCGGGAGGACGCAGCCACGGCTGCCCACACTCTCACACACACTGAAGAAAACGGCCCCTTCTGCCCTCTGTCCTCCCCATCACTCTCATTCATAGCCCGCCAGCTTAGTTCACGTCTGGACACGTGTCTGTCTGGAAGCATCTCAGGGCACAGACATGCACATAGCGTGTGAAGAGGCCACACGGCTCAGCTGCCGCAGCCATGCACCTCAGTCGGGGGGGGGGGGGGTCTCAGGAGCATCACTGAACCCACACATGCATCCATAAGAGCAAGAAGCCCCAGGACACCGAGGGAGGAGCCCTCCTGAAGGGCCACGCCCAGCTAACAGGCAGCCTCTCCCAGGAGTTGGTGTCGCAGGCATGGCCCAGGTACCTTGCTCATCTGGCGGTAGTACTTCTGGTAATTGGGCGGGTTCTCTGGGACCTGGGAAGTGTACGAAGGGCACACGTGGAAAGCACAGGAGGGAACATGTCACCATCATACCAGACGCCGGGGAGGGGCTGGCACAGCAGGAAGTGGGGAGCCTGGTGCTGCAGCCCACGGCGGCCCACCACCCACAGCCCCGCCCACTGCTGGGAAACACCATCAGGCACCCGTTGGGCTGGCGAGAGCAGGGTGGGAGGGGAAACCTCTGCCCCTGGGAGGCCCCTCCCAGCCCTCAGGGCTCACCTGTGAGACCCGCAGGAACTCATGCGCCTTCTGCAGGCAGGACGAGAACTCAGGCCTGTGGTGAGCGCCCGCCTGGAAGAGAGAAGGAACTGAGCCGCTGGCCACGGGAGCCTGTGGGCAGGCTGGCCTCCGGGCGGCTGTCACCACTGGGAACCAGGAGCAAACCTACCCGGGGTCTTGGGTGTCTGCCGACAAGTCCACACCACACCCGCCCTCCCACGCTCACAGGGTCCCGACCTGTCCGCGGCAAACCCCACAGAGCCCAGGCCCCACACAGCACTGACCCCTCCTCACGGCTCCCCAGGATCCCGTGACCTCATCCCACCAGAATAAAAACATGCTCCCGCTTCTCTCTAGTACATGCTCAGGGGAGCAGTTTGAGTTTCACAAGAGCCTGGAGCAGCCCCCCCTGTCTCCCGGAACAGCCTCTCCTACCTCCCTTTCCAGAAGCTTCCAAGCCAGCCCACCGCCCAGAGCCACCAGGCAACGCCCGCTTCAGCCGAACCATCACCACGGCCTCAGAGCCCAGGAAGGGTCAGGGTCAGCAGGTGTTGTGTCTGGGCACAGGGGTAAGAGGTCGAGGAACACGGAAACGGCCACGTACCTCCAGAAAGGCCTGGACGGCGAAGGAGGTGTCCCAGACCTGCGAGCCATTGGTGCCCTGCACACAGAGGACGAACCACTGCAGGAGCCCGGCAGCGTCCTCCCAGCCGCCCTCTGCCTCTCAGAATCCGACAGAGCTGGAGGCTCCCACCAGCTCCCGCGAAGAGGCAGGAGGCAGGGTCTCCTACACCTGGCTCTGGGCTATGGGCACCCGTCAAAGCCCACGATGGCTGCAGGGGCTGGTCCTGCAGGCAGCCCCACCTGCCTTCCTCGGGCCGCCAGCCAGGAAAGGGATGTGTCACAGGGCACTTCCAGGTTTTGACGGCCACCACCTGTGGTCTCCACTGCCTGTGGTCTCTATCCACCCGATGACAGCCTAGGGCCCTGCTGTGATGACCAGAAACACCCCCACTTCCAAGGTGGTAAGGCCCGACTGAGGCCTCGAAGGGGCTGGGAAGTCCCCCTCAAATCCAACCCGGGAGCTTGGTTCACTGGTCAGCACTGAGGTCCCACGTGTGACCAAACCCCAGTGCCAGGGCAGGACTGTGACAGGCATGTGGTAACCGGGATGGGAGCAGGTACACCTGAGCCCAGAACACCGGCGGCGGCACTAACAGGACAGCAGGATCGGGGCCCAGGGGCATGTGTGGGAAGAACTCGCACCACCAGGAAACCCGCCTGGCCAAAAGAAACATGAAAGACATCAACCCTCAGGGCCTAGCTGCCGATTTGCTGAAAATACAGGGCCCAGCCAAAACCAGTTTGGCCCAGTGGATAGAGCGTTGGGCTGTGGACTGAAAGGTCCCGGGTTCGATTCCAGTCAAGGGCATGTACCTTGGTTGCAGGCACATCCCCAGTGGGAGGTGTGCAAGAGGCAGCTGATCGACGATTCTCTCTCATCGATGTTTCTAACTCTCTATCCCTCTCTCTTCCTTTCTGTAAAAAAATCAATAAAATATATATATTTTTTTTAAAAAAAAAAAAAAAAAAAAAGTAAGAAAGAAAATACAGGGCCCAGAGGAAGAAACTGGTCAGATCCAGAAGGTGGACCCTTTAGAGGCAGTCACCAGGAAAGAAGGCTCTTGGGAGATGGCTAGCAGAGAATAACTACATGCATCAGCCACCGAGCTCTAATCCTGATGCCAACAAGCCCAGCACAAACCTCAGTGAGGCATCCCTGACTCTGTGGTGGCACAGATGTTTCCTAAAGACAAAGAAGCCCTCAAGCGCTGGGGCGTGAAAGGGCAATTGGCGTGTTTTGAAAATCCTTTTACGAGAGACCGGCAGTGTGGGAGTCAGGCGCTGGGAGAGGGGCTCAGGGCCTGCCTGGAGGGCACCTGCGCTGCGAGTGCTGGACCCGTGCCCCATCCCAAAGGCCCAGGGGCCTGTGCACCCCAAGGCCCCTGCTGGAACCTCCGCATCCCCACCCTGGGCCATGCGGGTTCAGCAGACAAAACCCCTCAGACTGGCCCAATGGCTCCAAGGCTTGCTGCTTCGGGGCCCCTGTGGCTGGAGAAGGTCAGCCCAGGAGGTCCTGCAATGTGCATCCCACCCCAGGGTCACAAACAGAAAATATGCTGGGGGGTGGGGGAGGTCAGATCACCTGCAACATCCAAACAGCACAACCCGATGGGACACCTGCAGAGAAAGGCCTGTGGGAGTGCATCTCAGGGCTGAGCAGGAAGCAGTAAACCCTGAGGGCGGGAGCAGCTCCGCAGGTGCTCGGCTGGGGGCAGGGCTCTCCTCCTTCCTGAGGCCTGTGGGTTCGTTAGTCAGGCCCCTGTGTGGGCTCTGAGGTGGCTGCCTCCTCCTGGCCTGCCGTCCTGAACTACTCTGGCTCACAGACGCTCCCGCACGGCGGCTGCACACCCTCTGTGCTCCCACGACCCTGGGGACTCTGATCCTCGGCGCTCCCACAACCCGAGGGCTCTGGGCTCTCCTGCACACTTTCCAGTCCCGGAGGCGCGCCATGTCCCCTCTGAGACAGGATGGGGGGCTTGCGGCTGCTCACCACACTGCCAGGCCCCGTTAGGAGTGGCTTTTAAATCTCAACAAACCCACAGGCAGAAATGGTTGCAAAGGAAGCGGGCAGCCGGCCCGGCAGCTCTCACCTGCATCTTCATGCCATCGAGGCCCAGCCTGTGAGGAGAAAAGCCAGGTCAGGGAGCAGAGCGCAAGGAGCTGGGAGTCAGGGGCGGACAGCAGGAGACCCCCTCCACGGCACAATCCGTAACTGACCAGCTCTCCTCGTCACCAAAGCCTTCCTGACATTCCCCTGGAGCTGCCCTGTCCACTCACAGGCTTCCTGGTGCTGCCTTCTGGAAGCACCCAGTTTGCGCTAAGGGGTGGACCTTTCCACTCAAACACAACCCCCGTCAGCTTCCATCGACCCTGGAACCACTGGTTCCAGAGTTACACCCTCGCTGGGACACGAAGGTGGAGACACAGTCACAAGCCTGCCGCTGCGGCTGCGGGGCCCACAAACATCTGCTCTGGGCTCTCAGCTACGTCAGTCAGACACGAAGCAGGACACCCACCGATGGGCCCTTCCCGCCTCACTCACCAGAGGTAGTCGGGGATCCTGGACACGTGCTCCTGGAAGGCGCTGGAGGCCGGCCCGTCCGCGCGCCAGCGCACCAGCATGTTGATGGTTTTTGAGATCTGCAGGAGACGGGCCTGTCAGGGCTCCGCTTCGCCCCTGCTGGGCATGAGGAGATGGCCCAACCCCACCGAGGGCCCAGCTCTGCCCCCACAGGCCAGGCCGGGCCTTCTGGTCTACCCCACGGTTCCCAAGCACACGCTGCTTCCAGGTCCTGAGAGACAAAGCCCCCGTGGTGCCCAGGGAAGAGGTGTCCAAGGGAGGTGGGAAGGGCAGAGGGTGTGCCCAGAGGAGGGAGGGAGACCTGTAAGAGGTGTGAGCCCAGCTAGCTGGCAGGTGAGCAGGGTGCCCGAACGGGATCCTGGGGTCTGAGGAGCACAAGGGAGATGCAGATCAGACCTTTGCCAGGGGCTGCCTGCTCAGGATGGCATGTTCTAGAAGGCCCAGACCTTCCACTCCGGGAGCTCCTAAGATAAGATCCAGCTAAAGCCTGCATCTAACTTAAGTCAGACGTGCTTTACACACATTAAGTCAAAGCCAAGAGTCACACTGCTGCTAAAAGGAACACAACTGACTGCACTGGAAGGCGTCATCATTTTCGATCCACTGGGGTCCCATGAGGGTGAGGAAGTGCCTGGGAGCAGGGGCAAGAGTGGGGCCAGGTAGCACTGCACCAAATGGGCGCACCTGACAAAGCCCCAGTCATGGCCCCCAACTAGGGGTTCAAAACTGCTCTGCCTCCTGCACCCGTCGCCCATGGCCGTGAGCCGGCCTCTCCACCCTGCACTAGCCGCTGTGCACCTAGCCACAGGGTCCCACAGGTGTGTCCACACCTGTCCCCACAAAGTAAAGCCAGGTCAGGAGCCCAAAAGCTCAGAGCAGGAAGAGTTTCACATCACGGGGCCCAGAAGAATCCAGGAACGGAACCCATGCATCCCTGGTGCTCTAAACCCCCTAAGAGAAGGGCAGATAGGAGTTTTGGGGTGGGGGGTTGGCCAGAAAGATCCTGAGAGGTGGCCTCAGAGAGCAGTGTTCAGGCACACTAGGTGGTGGGGGTGGGAGGGGGGCCAAGCGCACAGGTGGGGACTGTGGGAGCAGAGGGTCGCCTGCTGGTAGACCCCTACCCCCAATCCCAGAGACTGGTCTCTGGGCCTTCCTCCTTGGGTCCTCGCCCACCCCAGGGCTCAGTCGAGTGCCCACTCAAGGCTGACACCCAGCGGGTAGGTGGCACTGACCGGGCCGATGCTGATGCACTTGGTGAAGCGGTCATCGGCCTGGATGTGCTCATACAGCTTCCGGACGGCCCGCTGCCGCAGGCTGGCGCTGTGGTGGCGTTCGTACAGGTTGAGGATTGCTGTGGGGGCAAGCGCATCAGCAAGCTCAGGGCACCGAGGAGCTCCTGTCCTCCACTCAGCTAGGCACAGGGCCACTTGGGCCCTCCCAGCCTGCCCTGCTCTGCCTTCCTTTCTGCTGTCCCCCACGCCCCTCCCACCCCACACCCTGCCTGCCCCCGCACGTTGGCATGCTGCCCTGGCATGTTAGGAGGGCTCGGTGAGTAGAAATCCAGTTGTTTCTCAGCAGTGACGGGACGGGGATCCAGCTACCACCCAGGGCCCCGCACACAGCGTGCAGTGCCGGTCTCCTGGGGGTCCCACAGGGAGGGAAGCCTGGACTGGGTCCCTCCCCAGGGAGGAATGACTGCGCCCTTCAAGGCCTTCAGCTCCAAGTTCTCTCATCTACGGCCCCAAGCCCCAGGATCACCCCCAGGGCAGGACAGCTCTGCTGGACAGAGGTGCACACAGCCGGCTCCTCACCACATGGCCCACGTGACGATGAGAGAGTACATTCATTGCCACCTCAGGTGCCCGCTGACCCCAGGGAGGCCCAGCCAGCCCCAGGGGAGCACCCACCGTACGTTACACGGAGCAGCCAGCTGTGCGGCGTGTAGAGATCGTCAAGGGCAACGTTGTTCCTCTGCGCCGGCCAGTCGATGCTGGCGTAGTCCTCCACGTAGAGTTCCTGGGAGCGACAGCGCCTCAGCACCCGCTGCCTGCAGCTGCCTTCTCTCCCTGGCCCCCCAGGGCACACCCTGATTCACACCTCGCACCCCAACCCGCCTCAGGGCCTGCTTCCCAGGGGCAGGGCCTGCGCCCAATCCCACTCTGGACAGTTCCCCAGGGGGCTCAGCGCGGAGGCCCATGGGAGCAGGTGAGCACAGCCGAACTTGGGGATGACCCCGGCCCACGTGCTCACCTGGCGCAGGCTCTGGACCAGCGGGTCCTCCTCGGCGTTCAGCCGGGTGGCATAGCAGTAGCTCATGGGCAGGTAGACCTGACGGCAGTGGCACCAGATTGTGGAGGGGTGTGCAGGCATCCAGTCAGGAAACAGCCTGTGGGGGGACAGTGGATTAGCAGGAGCCCCAGCCCCGCCGTCACTTCCACCACAGCCCCAGAGTGGCCAAATGTCCAGGCCCAGGTCGGCCAGCCCAGGACTCGCACCACCATGCTCCCATGGGAAACGGTCAAAACCCCTCCCTGGATCCCCCAGGGTACAGGCCACTTCCGGTTCAGACAAAGGCATCCTACAGCCAGCAGACAGTGGTCCTAAGGTTCAGGACCGTCTGTGGTTTCTCAGTAGTGACAGACAAAGCACGATAACGTGGAACGTTCATAGTGAGAAACGGGTGAGGGGATCTGTAAGGACGGCTCTAGATTACCTTTGCAACTTTTCTGGAAATGGAAAACGATTCCACAATAAAAACGGTTAGGCCTGAGCCTTGGAGTGTGGCCTCCACACGTGTTTTCTGACATCAGCACAGCCAGGCCACCTTCCCGGGTGGGTGAGTCCCAGGGGTATTTTCTCTGCCCTCCCCTTCAAGCCCTCGTCCTCATCTTCGGGGCATAGGGAGGCACAGAGCCACCTATATCCTCCCTGTTCCCAATTGTGAGAATCGGGCAGGTGGCCCCCAGCCTGAGACCAGCTCCCTCCCTCTCTTAAGAGCTCCTCCACTCACTTTAAAGAGTGTTGGGTTTGTTTGTTTTTTTGTTTATTTTTTATTTACATTTTGGGTTCAGGTCCTCCATCCTGCATACCTACCCTTTACTCTCAAACCCATACCCCTCTGAAAACTCCAGCAAACACCGGCAGTGTCTGCAGGGGCCCCACCTCGCGACGGGCACAGACAACACCGTTTCCCAACAGCAGCCCCAGGTTTCCACACCCCCCTGACACTGGCTGCCTTCCCGGTGAGGTTCACGGCCCAATGGGCATGCCCGCCAGTGAGGAATGCTGTAATGGCCCCAAGACATGTGCCATCCTCTTCCAGACTGGCCAACCTTGAGTAACAGAGCCCCGCCGCCCACTTTACCTTGCTGTCCCTCTGCCACCATCACCCCACCTCACTACCATGGAGGCTGGGCCCTCCGCCCTTTCAGCAGGACCCTCTGTCACTCCCCAGTGGCCCTTCCTCCACCAAGGTCATCTAACACAAGCCCCCCAGCCCCTCCCCCCAACCTCCCCGATGCTCCCTAAGGGACCACAACCCTGCTGACAATGCTCCAGGGGCCCTGTAACAGCCCAGCGGGGGGACCCCACCACAAGGCCCAGCCCAGGGCCCCCCTCCTTCCTTCCAATATTCTCCAGGAAGGAGCCCAGGGCCCCGTCATTCCATTCAGTAGGGCGGCAGGGACCAGGCTGCCACGACCCTGCAGAGGCGAGCCTACCACATCTCCGGGAACAGGGTGTTGAGGCCTTCCCAGCTGTACACGTTCAGGACAGCCAGCCAGAATTTCCCCCAGGAGGGGATGGCCACAGCTCCGCCTGGAGAGAGAGCAGGCCCGTGTTATCTCCCTCCAGCTGGACCCTCGGGAGCCAGGCCCTTCTTGTCTGAACTGAAGGCAAAGGCTTCCAAAGCCCATGAGGGACAGGTTCAGGGCTCCCTCACACAACAGCCACGGGGTCAGGTCAAAATGAGTGTATGCAGTCCCAGGAAAGACATTCACAGCCCCCCCACCTTCAGGAGGGAGACACACAGGCAGCTGCCTGGGAAGGTGAGGGGCCCCGATGCGCACAGCAGCCTGTACCACGTGGGTCTGGAGGCGAGGAGGGGCAGGGAGTGCGCATGCTCGGCCTTCTCCTAGGGCTGCTAATGGCTGCCCCTGACATGTGTGTCCCCACTCGGCAGGGTAGGTCTCCAACCTGGCTGCCTGAGACACTCTGGCCCAAGTTGGAGCCACCCCAGCAGCCCAGGTCCCCGGCTGCGCTTCACAAGGAGGCCTCGCCCAGACTCACGTGATCAGAAATAAAAATTTAAAAAAAACCCAGGAGCCACCAGGGAAGCAAGTGTGGTCCAAACACATTCCTTCCCTCGGCAAGGAACCCGAAAGCAGCTATGAGACCAGAAGCTAATGAGGAAGTCACTGCAAGAGCCACACGTGAACAGACTGGTATTTCATCAGCATGCACACGGGTTAGGAACGGCTCCCAGAGCAGGGACATCCCCGGTGCCGGGTGGAGGATGAGGAGGACTCCCACAGCAGCGGGGTGGAGTGGAAGGCAGGAGGCGGAGGAAGCAGCATGCAGAACCGTGAGGCACGTAGGGACTTCCAGGAGCTGACAGGAGCCCTGTGTGTGAGCACCAGAGCAGGAGGGCAGGTGGATGGAGGAGTGGTCACGAGAGACAGGTGGTGAGACCTGCCAGGCTCCGGAGAGCAGCAAGAAAGGTCCCAGAGCAGCGGGAGCCATGGAGGGAGCCTCCCCGAGGCTCCGATGAACAGCCTTCAGAGCACTCAGGCAGGGGGAGAGCTGCTGCCTGCTCGAAGCCCACCCAGCAAACGGGAGGGTATATGGTCATCTTAATTTGCTTTTCAAAAACTACCAGTAAGGTTTCACCGTTTCTACTTCTCTGCTTTGATGAATTCCCTGCTCACGGGTTTCGCCCGCTGTTTCAGGTGAAGGGGCGCCTTCCTGTTTCTCATTTGCAAGAGCTCGTTGAGCAAAGTAACACGGACACTTAGCATGTGCCGTGCAGGGCATACCTTTCTTTCTTTCTTTCTTTTTTAAATATATATTTTTTATTGTTTTTTTTACAGAGAGGAAGGAAGAGGGATAGAAAGTCAGAAACATTGATTGATAAGAAAGAAACATCAGCTGCCTCTTGCACACCCCCTACTGGGGATGTGCCCATAACCAAGGTACATGCCCTTGACTGGAATCGAACCCGGGACCCTTGAGTCCGCAGACCGATGCTCTATCCACTGAGCCAAGCGGGCTTTGGCAGGGCATACCTTTCTTGTGAAGAAGGTTCCGTGCCCGCACCAGGTCGGGATCGTCAGGCCCCACACCCAGGATTCTCAGGCACACGTAGTTGAGCGCAGTCCCAAACACCGTGGACTTGTCCTCGATGTGCCTATAGGAGCAGGAGACGGGGTGGGGAAATGACATCTCTTATTACTTCTAAGAAATTAAGCAGCGCTTTCAGTTAAATGTCCTCAGAATGTGAAGAGGGGCAGGGAGCGCACGTGCTCGGCGTTCCCTTAGGGCCGCTTATGGCTGCTCCTGACATGGGTGTCCCCACCCAGCAGGCAGGGCGGGACTCCAGTCTGGCTGTCAGCGACACTTTGGCCCAAGCTGGAGCCACACCAGCTTCCCAGGTCCCAGGCACAGCGATGCTAACACATCCTACACTGGCATGACAGGATGACACAAGAAACACCCTGAGCAGCCACCTCCCATGACAACCAGCATTGGCCCTGCAGAACCTGCCTGCCTCCTCTGCTTACTTCCCACACCTCAGTCAGCGTGATCCTTCTGAGGCCCATTCCACACCGTGGCACACAGAACACAGTACAGGGCAACGTGTAAGGGCACGTCCCACCCCGTGCGGTCATACGGCATGGCTGACATCTCAGCATCTGTCATGACATGCTGGGACCCACAGGCCAGGCCTGGGGCTCACAACCCTGTTGAGAAAGGCTGAGCTATTCCCCTGGGGTTCCATAATGGAGGCCACAACCAGGGTGGGCAGGCAGGTGACCACCTTGGGGGAGGGTCCTGATCCCAGAGCAAACCCTGCCACAGAAAGGCAGGCTGAGACGAGCGAGAGTTGGCCAGCCCCGGCTGCACCTGTTGCCACCCCAAAGTCAGACAATTTCCTTCCGCCTTAGTGATAACAGCCAGATGGTTTTCACTGTAGATGAGGGTCTCGAGTCTCTAGGCCAGTCATGCAACCCAATTTATAACACTAGCTGTGACACTGACCACTCCCCCACCCGTGCCAGGTCCACAGTTACAGTCACTCCCACCCCTCGACGGGTGCATGTCCTACACAAGAACATCTGTGCACATGGGCAGTGACGGAGCCGAGCAGACTCACAGGCCCCAGCCACCATCCGGGAGCTGCACCGACCGCAGGTACCGCACCATCTCTTCTCTGTATCCAGCTGGCAGAGGGATGCGTGCCACGTGGCATGTGATCAGGAGGCCTGTGTGACGGGAAAGATGTCTGACACGGGGAGCAGGCACTCGGCACTGTGAATCCCGGCCCCTTTCCCCGAGGACCCCTCCTGACAGGGAGCTATTCCCAAGGTTCCCCTTCGCACAGAAACAAGCCTGGGAAACCAGTGCTCACTACAGTGATGCACATATGTGCACCTATGTTCAAACCAGATTCCCATCCTCTCCAGGTCACAGGTGAGGTGGCCGAAGCATCTGAAGTCCTATCGCCTTGCCCAGGGTCAAAGCAGACCATGGGAAGAGTCTCAACAGGCTCCAGGAGGGTCGAAGAGAAGAAAGAGCCCTTGACTTGCTCCCAAAGGCAAGTCCATGTCTTGTGTAGTTTTTTTTAGGATGCAATAGTCTTGTCTAGCCAACTAATTCCTTGCCTTTGGGCCCAGCAGCAATCCTCCTGGCACTCACCACCCGCACCTGTAGCTCACCTGGCTGAGCTTACATGCCAAAGCAGCCCACAAAGAACTAAAGACACCCACTGACCTCTCTGCCTGCCACCAGCACCTTTGCACAAGCTCAGCTCTCTGCCTGGAGTGCCTGGATCTCAAGAGCCAGCCCTCCTTCACCCCCAGAGCGCCCTTCTTCCCTGGTCACAACACTGGGCTGGCTGCGCCTTCACCCCACTCCCACCCTTTACCCTCCTTAGCCCCCTGCCCCCCCCCCCGCCTCTCCCAGCACCAACGCCAGGATAACTAAGGTGCAGGGTAACCCTCCACAGACCTTTCCCACGTGAGCTCCTGGGTGCAAACTTGCTTGCTCATTCCCACCACAGACGTACATCAAGGGCTTGAACCAGGCCAGGCCAGCACCCCAACGATGACCCTGGGGTCACCGCGCCCACGGGCCAGATAGCACCCTCCTACCTGGCAGGAGGAAGAGCGGGCCGCCATAGTCACCCGCCCAGTGCCCGTCCTCGGCCTGCAGCCCCATGTAAAACGTCATCCCATTCAGAGCCCCCTCGTGGGCAGTGTTGGCTTTGGGCAAGTCTTTGAAGTAACTCGCCTGCAAAAGAAAAGAGAGATGAGATCCGAGGGGGTCTGTGGCCAGGCTGAAGGAGCCCTCATCACTTACAGCCCACGCTGAAATAATGAATCTGATTTCCTTTAAAAGTTTCAGCTGTTTCAATAAAATAAAATAAAAATCTGAAACTCTTTGATGATGGCACTACCATCTCGGCAAAGCACCGGGCTCTCATGGTTTCGCTTTCCAGCCAAACATGTTTGCAAATTTCTTCGCAGCTTCTCCAAGTGCCCAAGAGCGTGGGGTGGGGCACTGATGGCCACGCAGACCTGAATGAAATTCAGGCCTCTCTCTCACAAGAAGGGGCCAAAGGGCATAGCCAGGAGACCCCATTTATATCGCACACACTCTGACTACCTGAATTTCTTTTATGACATTCACTGGATCAACATTTTCTCTGCCCTGGCCGGGTGGCTGGGCTGAAGATGCAAGATTCAATTCCCAGTGAAGGCACATGCCTCGGCTGCTGAGGTCAGCAGGGCACTGTCTTATGGGGTCCCCCTCTACAATGTTCCTCTCACATCGATGTTTCTCTCTCTCTCTCTCCCTCCCCCTCTCTAAATTCAGTAAGAACATATCCTCCAGTGAGGATTATGCACACACACACACACACAACCCAACAACATTTTTTTTCTGAATAAAAAAAAAAATAGAGCAGTTTCTTACTGACAGCTTACTGATTTGAAGCAAAGGGATCCATTCAGCTCCTGCCCTATAATGCAACTGATTCCCACAGGAACCAGCTTTAGTGGCATGTGCTCACATAGCACATCCCTTCCATTTTAACAAGGAAGACGACACCCTGCACAGGCCGCTTTTGGAAACGCCCTGCTGGTGCTCCTGGCTGAGGTGCAGAAAGTGAGCAGGAGTGCCCGGCTGTGTGGGAAGCCCCCTAGAGCACCTACGGTGTCCAATCCCAGGGAGTGAGCTTCCAGCGCCGTCTGCTCCCGGCCGGGGCTGTCCTCTTCCTGAAAGTAGGTCCACACCTGCCTTCCCCTCTCATTGCTGAGTCGCCAACGGCTGAGGTCGGTGACGGGCTCGGTCTTGTAGGGTCCCCCTCGGCGACGCAGACACCTGGAAACGATCACGAGTGGCCATCCGCCTCTTCTTTAGCTCAGAGCCCCGAGGTCGCACTCCCTCCCTCAGCGCCGCTCCCTCCTGCCTCTCGCTGCTGCCCCCTTATCTGTGGTGGAAGTGGATGCCCGCGCCGGCCGCCAGCATCCCCGGGACCCCCATCCCACCGCGCTCTCCTCAGCCCCGCCCCCAGGCGGCCCCCGTCCACGCGGAACCCCCCTCAGCGCCCCGACCACCGCGCTCTGCCTTCTGGTGGGACACCCAGCGCGAGGACTCACGTGCCCTCGGTCATGACGGCCCCCCGCGATCTCTGCAACCTGCACACCAGCCGGGACCCCCACCGCAGGCCAGCCTTCGCGCAACAGGCTACCCCGCGGAGCGCGGTGGGAAGATGCCCGCGCAGCCAATCAGAACGCCGCGGGGGTGGGCCCTCGACCGTGCCCAGCCACTGACGTGGTGGCGCGACCCGAGTCAAGTGGGTGTGGCCTGGAACAAGGTGGGGCGGGGCCTGGATGGCCTGGTGGGCGGGGCCTGGGTGAGCTGGTGGGCGGGGCCAGGGCGGGAGGGGGCCAGTGGTGTAGGCGGGGGCATGGAGAGGGGCCTGGGCGAACCGGCCAGTGGGACCAGGGGCGGGGCGCTTTCTGCTGTTCGCCTTGGAGCGAAGCTCTGCGACCAGACCCGGGCTGAGGAGGAGGAAAAGGAGGAGTGCTTGATGGGGCGGGTGGAGTGGCCCTGTGAGGCCATGAGGAAGGCCCCGCCCCGGGGTCCGCCCCGCAGGAGTTCCGGAGGGCTGGAGGCTGGCTGTGCGGAGCGAGGCTCAGGAGGAGAGAAGAGCGAGCGAGGTCAGATCCGCGGTGAGCTGCGTGAAGGTGTGCGAGGTCGTGACGGAGTTTGCTGAAGTAGTGACGGTTTGGGGGAAAGCTTCACCTTGGATCGGGGGACATGTGAAGAATAGATGCCCATGAGACATGCAAGTGGATGCGCTGAGTAGGCTGGTGATCCGGAGGAGACAGGACAAGGCGAATGAAGAACTGGGGAGTCGTTTTGTTTTCAGATGATATTTGAAAACGTAAGATGGGATGAGACACACTAGGGAGTATCCCAAAGAGAACATTGTCCGAGATGAGCCAGGGGCACCAACAGCTTCCAGCCAAGCAGAGAGAGTATCCAGAAAGAGAGGAGGACAGGGCCGTGGAGTCCGGGAAGCCAGGTGAAGACTGTGAGGATCTGTGCAGAAGTCCTGGAGGGATTGTAAAGTGAGGTCTGAGAATTGGTTAGATGTGACCCCCATCACTGTCAAAAGTGTGTCTGTGTGTGTGTGTGGCGGGGGTCCAGGTAAACAAGTCATGCCAAGCACAGCCATTGACTTCTACTTCCCACCTAAACCCTACATACATCCTATATAATAAAAGCCTAATATGCTAAGTGTCGGGTCATCGGGTCAACCAATCAAAGCATAATACGTTAATGATATGCTAAGGATGCTAGCTGTGTCATGCACTGACCACTGGGAGCAGAAACTTTGACCTGTACATTAGCTTGCTGCTGGGGTCCTGCTGATTGAGACCGAGCTAGATGGGCCAGACATGCCCTGGAGCCCTCCCATACATGGTCCCTCCCTGGCTGGCCAACCTCCTGCATCCCTCCCTAGCCCTGATCATGCACTGATGGGGTCCCTCACCCTGGCCTGTGCCCTCTCACAATCCGGGACCCCTCAGGGTATGTCAGAGAGCTGGTTTCAGCCAGAACCCGCAGGCCAGGCTGAGGGACCCCACTCTTGCATGAATTTGTGCACTGGGCCTCTAGTAAAGTAACAACAGAGATAACAACTCACAGTGAAAGTATGAGCAGGAGGTAGCAGTAAATAAGAGAGGTCAACAAAAAATTATAGAGCCTAGGAATGTGATAACTGACAGCAAGCCAGAGAAGACTGAAACCTATGTGTGGGGGGTGAAGCCATCAATAAAAGAGATCAGTCTTTGCCATTGAAACCCAGGAAAGCCCAGAAATTGGGAGGACTGGTAGGAAGTTTGGATAAGGAACAGTGTGGCATATATCCTTTCCCCTACCTAGTTGAAACCTGCAGCAGCTGAGTCAGAGTGAACTGAGATGCAAGACATAGCTGAGGACACTGAAAGTACACTCACATGGAAGCCCAATCAATCCCACTTCTCCCACTCAGCTATATGGCTTCAGACAGGAGGAAGAGGATTTCCCTATAGCAAATGGCCCCTCAAAAAAGACCCGCAAACATTGGCAGCTGGGACCTAGTAGAAAAGCAGAGAAGCCTATCCTTTGGCAGGCTGTATCCATTGGCACAGAGCTTCCAATGAGTTCCTCAGAGTCCCCTGCCCCCCATCATCAATATGAGCCAGATTTGAGAAAAACCTCTACCACACACATACACACACACACACACACACACACACACACACACACACACAAAAAAAAAAAAAAAAAAAAAAAAAAAAAAAAAAAAAAACAGAAAATGAAAATTTTGAGAAACGGGGATGATGCAAGGTGTGGAAGAGGACTTTGACAAACACAGAGATAGGATGTTGCACCATGAAACAAGAACCATCTGACACACTCATTCCCTCCTGGCCTTGTCTCCATGCTTATCACCAATTTGCATAGCAAATGTTTTACATATTTTTCTTGTTTATTGCCTATCTCCTCACTAAAATATAAACCTATGAGAGCTGAAATTTGTTATGCTATTTCTAGCACCTGAAACAATGCCTGGCATATAATAAATACTCCAAAAGCATACACTGAATAAATGGATTCTCTAAATAAGAAACATTAAGGAAAAATGACTCTCAGAGACAACCAAGATGGCGGCACAGATAAACACCTATACTTGCTGCCTCTCACAACCACATTAAGACTCCAACTAAAAGACAAAATAAATATCATCCAGAACCACAGGAAAGCTGGTTGAGTGGAAGTTCTACAACTAGAGGGAAAGAAAAAAAGCACATTGAGACTGGTAGGAAGTGCAGAAGTACATAGGTAATGGAGGCTCAAGCAAAACAGGCTGGCAACTGGGTGCTCTGTTTCTTTTTTCAGTCAGGAGGGACAAGCTCCCAATTGCTCTGAACTCCAGTTCTGGGTGAGACTCTGAGAACCCAGACTCATACGGGGAGGAACTGGACTGTCTGGCACCAGGCAAGAACGCGAGAACGGCTTTCTCTGAGGTGCTTACAGTGGTCATTGTTCCTGCACGGGGCCGCAGGACACGCAGACCCAAGGATCTCTTCAAGGCAGGGCTGACTGGAAGCCATTGCTTTTTGTTCCACCCTGGTGATTCCCTGAGATCCCGCCCATCCCAATTTACACCCCCAGCCAAGCTGTGTGCAGCAGCTCTTGCATATGAATGGCCTGTCATTTTGTAACTTAAAATCTAAGAAACTGCAGCTGGGTCAGAGAATTCCAAAGCCTCCAAAAGAAGGCCTAAGGCCATGGTGGCAAACTGCAGCTATAGAGCCATATGCAGTTCTTTGGCCCCTTGAGTGTGGCTCTTCCACAAAATACCACGGCCTGGGTGAATCTATTTTGAAGAAGTGGCATTAGAAGAAGTTTAAGTTTAGAAAATTTGGCTCAAAAGAAATTTCAGTCGTGGTACTGTTGATATTTGGCTCTGTTGACTAATGAGTTTGCCAACCACTGGCCTAAGCCCTACAGCAGCAGCCTGCATTGTTTCACAGCTGGGCCTCATCTGGGCACTTCCAAACCCCAAACAAAGAGGAGGAATATGCAGTGAAATGAGAAGCAGCCTGTATTTAAAAATGTTGGTTTGAAAAGAAAGAAGATATAAAATAGTCTTCTCGGTGTCTAGTGGATGTGGGATTATAAAAGGGAGATGCTGAGTGCCAATTTAAGATTGGCAGCCATACCCAGCATCACCAAGTCTATTAATTCCTCTTCCTGTATATGACTTAAATTTATTCCTTCTCTGCACACCAACTGCCAGCAAACTCAGGATTATACCCTTCCTCTTCCATCTGGATGACTACAGCACCCACCTTTTAAGAATCCTATTTGTGTTGCTAACCTTCCCCATATGCCTTATTTATTTACTTTTACTTTTTAATCCTAACCTGAGGATTAGGGTTAAATCAATTTTATTGATTTTAGAAAGGGAAAGAAACCTCCAATGTGAGAGTGAAACACTGATCAACTGCCTCACCCCTGACTGGGGATCAAGCTAGCAATCTGGATACGTGCTCTGACAGGGAATGGAACCCACAACCTTTCGGTGCAAGGGACAACACTTCAAACAACTGAGCTGTTATGCCCAGACTTCGTGATCCCCAAGGACCGACCACAAGGGAGCTGAGGCCGATGCAATAATCAAAAGAGCCTTTTCCATGCTAGCATAGGCTCTGTCCCACTCACGCTGGCAGCATGGCGGAAGAGAGCGAATTTCGCCCAGTCCAGGGGTTTTACTCCGGTCGGTGGTGATGTCACTGACTCGGCTAACCCTGATTGGTTGGGTGAGGGCTAGGGTTCAGTTACAGAATGGAGGATAACTCCGCCCTGCCCCATAGTGGAGTCAGGAGCCCATCCTCACCCCGCCCTGCCCTCTCAGAGCCACACTGGCCAGGTCCCATACGCCATTTTTAAAAGAATGTGACAAGTCACTTCTCTGCCTAACATCCTCCAATAACTGATTTCCTGAGCATTCAGAGGAAGGCAGCCAGGGTTCCTATGGGCTGGCCTATCCCCTCACTTGACAATACCAAAATGGCACCTCTGGGTTTTCATCACACCCTCAGGCACTCTCCCCACCTACACCCCTGCACTCCTCTCCAGGAATCTGCTCTCACCTACAGCCAATCCTCTTGTCTTCCCACTTCTAGTCCAGAAACATGCCCCCGGCACATCCTCAGAGAGGATTTCATATCCTGTTGGCTCTTTCAGATGTGGGTTGGATGGGCCTCATTACTGATGTCTGCATATTTGGGACTGCAACTTTGCAGAGACAATGAATGATGGCTTGTTAATCAGAGAAATGTAAGCTACAAACTCCCTCAGGCATGTTGGTGGGTGATAGTCTGAGGAGATCATGAAAACAGGTAAAATCAAAGATGTTACATAGAAAAGAGCCTACTATTTTAAAAACAGGGGGTGATCTCCTTAGACATTCAATGTTTTATTTGCATGATTAACTGTCACATTTCCAATAGTGCATCAAACATCCAGAATAAGATTATTTCAAGGAAATCTTCTGGATGGACCCTCCTGCTCTCAAGTCTGCAGCTCAAATGTCCACCATGTCCAGCAGTG